CTTTGAATTTACAACCCTTCTGCCCTTAAAAAATAATATTTATTACTATCGAGGACGACAGCAGCAGTTTCGTCTTGAAATCTAGTCGCCAGCAACATGTCGTGTTCTTCGTTCCAAGTGTTATAATATTATCTTTAGCAGCCAGGTCCGAATACCCAAATAACATACGCGTGTTTCGTCTTATATGATGTTTGTAAGCGGTGTTCGTCGTCTGTTGTATGCCTCGTCCGTCGTCTGTCGTCACCGCTTTGGTCTTCCCCGCAGCACATTCACGCGACCCGTGGAGTTTAATTATATTTTATATTGATACGTCAAAAGACTTAATTGCACTTATTATTAAAAGAAAATTCTAATATCGCTGCCGCGCACACGACTATGGGTCGAAAACGAGACCAGTTAGGTTTGTTGGATGTCCGTTAGTGTCGGGTTTCGTGACTGAGTTACGGTCTGTGTGCGAGTGAGTCCGCACCGCGTATCAAATATATATATATATATATATATATAATTTATTGTTTCCACTCACACGTTGAGCATACTATGTATATTTATATGTGGTGTGAAAAACTGGGAAATTTCTTCTCGGGGGAGATCGGTGGGAGCTATTCGGTCGCGCCTGTTGCGGTCTCAACGTCTCTCCCCTCCGCCGCCACGGCAGCCCCCGCCTACGTCACCGCACAACAGTTTCACCGCGGTGGGACCCCGGGGCAGTTTTAAGCGGCAATTAGCGCTGTGACTACATGATGGTGGCGTGGTACTCGGACCGGGATTCTGCGCACCGGATGACACGCGGCTACTACTACAGATGCCGTCGACGGGACCGGAACACGGAGTCTAATACTTTATTTTTGCACTCATTTCTGTGTCATATAACAATATATCTTTGTGCTGTAGTTTTATCATGTCCCTATATAGAACACTGAACAGTGCTCGTCCAGGAAAAATAAAATACAATTTATGACGGTGACGATGGTTTAATGAGCTCTAAAAAAGTGTCCCTATATATTATACGTTATAATATATAAAGTACAATGTGATATAATATCATACAATACGCCTATGATGTAATGTTAATGTAAAAATAATAATGATAAAATACAAAAAAACAGTGTCCCCGGAGAAAAATAAATAGTCGTAAAACCTATGTATTGGTTTGCAGCCCCTCTTTTTTAACGTCCGTTGATGTGGAATTAATAAGATATATTTTGAAGCGGTTCTTGTTAAATAAAAGTCTTCAGATAAAAGTAAAAAAGGGGAATGGCACTGATTCGTTATATCTATGAGGAATATTCCGCGCATCAATAAATAATAAGTGTCCATAAAAATATTAACCGAATATCGACATGCAGCTGACAGATTAAGGGTACAAATTAAGTAACCATACTTTTCAATCCTGCATTATAGATAGTTTATATTCTGTAATCAATGCAGGTTTAAACTCATGGATTAAATAGTCGTGTTTAAAATTCATAATCGTATTTTATTATATGACGTTTCGGGTGATCGCGTGTAAGCACAACTTTATATAAACATGCCTGATATCATTATATTACTTGTACATTGAACGGTATTAATTTGTCTCAAATCCTATATCGCTTAAAAATCCTTTTTTACTATCATAATTTGGGAATGCGTTTTTATTATACATTTTTACTTATCTGCTTGTTTACAGGTTTTTTTCTATACAAAATATTTGAGTAGGTACCTAAATCGTTGAGGCTTTTACAGCTTACATTTTTCAACCAGGTTAATGGACAAGTATACAGTTGTACAAACATTGCTTTTGAAATTTTATTCGAATATAAATAATAAATTCGTTCATATATTGTTTTCTCAATTTCATAATTGTTTTGTTTTTGATTTTAAGTGTCTCATACTTATATACCTAGTATAAACTTTAGTCTCATAATTTTAAACGTCACGTCCATTTTGCCACACGAATCACACATCGATCTATATATAGTACCTATTAAATTACCTAATAATATCTATTACATACAGTGTGTACAGTGGTGTACGTATTTACCAATATATTATATTTGGCTTCTTCAATACATATTTTTATGTAAGGATGTATATCCTACTGCATGTTTGTCAATTTATTTTAAACATTTTTTTTTWAAATTTTATCGACTGAAAATTCGAAAACATAATATTTTTAATCAATTATTCTTTTTGAAAATGTGACATCATAATACTAGGTATATACAATAACACCAGGTATATATAATACACACGTACAACTACTATTTAAAATTCGCAAAATTCAATCAATTCCATGCTTCTTATTATGGTGATGGTTATTTCAATGAATATATAGGTTATATGTAGGTTATGTTGGTATTTCGTGTTCCAGTTTAGCTAGACAAGTCGTCCTATAATCAATTTGACGGTAAATATTGTGTCTGAGTGACATTTTTCATGTATTGATATGACACGTCAAAGACCATGATGTAATTTTAAATATCATACATTTTCCTGACTTAAAAAATTATGTAAGCTTTTTTTGCATTCTATTAGAAATTTAACGACAATGCAAAAACAAATTGAAACACCTTAAAAAATTGATAAGATAACAAGGTACAGGTAATAAGTCATTTTACGTAAGATTAACCGGCAGTTACAGAACTTTTACGTTTTTTTCACTGCATCATGCACATTGCACAATATTATATAAATATCACACATATTTCATGCATCCCAATTATTATTATTATTAAGAATATTATGATTTATGGATATTGAAAATTTTCACGATTCTGCTAAATTATAATACTCGTAATTGTTATTAGTTTTACGAAAATTATAACTTTAGTTATAATGAAATTTAATGACATACAATATTTAACGTGATATTTCATTATATTATCGATTCGTACTTCTTAGTGAAATAATTGGCAATTTTTTGAAGATATTTTAAAGTTGGCTTTATATTTAAAATGTAAATTATGAAATGTAAATCCACTTTTAATTGTAATGTAGATACAGCCTGCATCATACGGAGGCAATGTTGTATATTTAACGTCATATTTATGTTTTATTATAAAATTTAAAAGAAAGTACAAAACTTCATGGTAGGCTTATATAAAAATAATTCCAAAATATCGAAGACATATATTGTATTTCATTAAAATAGCGTATAATGAAATACAATATGCAAAACAGAATAGAGATCCCTTGCTTTGACATAGCAAGCTGCAGTCAATGCCAAGCTACAGGACACTCACTTCTGTAAACAAATTTTGTAAATTATTCAAATCAACCAATTTTATGTATAATATAAAATACGTATATGAAAACTAATACTTCATAAAATTATTAAACTATTGAATTAGACATTGACTGTATTTTAAACAGTAACTATGTTTGTTAGGCATTTAACAATATTTGTGTTTCGATTAATAAGAGGTATTAGGGCGTGGGATTGACCTAAATTTCTTATCCGCTGTATAATGTCGTGTAAGACACTATAAAAATTTAATTAAGTACTTATTACCTTAATATTTTATTCATATAAAATTCGAGTATTAAACCAATGTACAATCCATGATGTAAATTGTGGACACTTATATAGGTAATGTATATCTACTGAAATTAACAACTAATTAAAAATATTTTTTTAGTGTGTATACCTATCTATCATTCACTTTATCTTTCAAAAAGTATTTAATTGTAATATATATATATTGTATGTCGAAGTATCATTAAGTGATTTGGTATGTAAGTAGTATGTGTAGTTTATTTTCTCGAAGTAGGTGTAAAGATATTGTTCTAATACATGTTTTCGTCACATTTTATTGTAATATTACAATATATAGATATCAAAAACGAACGTGATTATTTCTGAAGTTTTCTAAACAGCGCTCGAGATATTATGCAGTCTGCGATTGATAGTATAACATTTTTCGCTGTCGTACGTTTTTTATTCGTTGACGTAAAAATATCAAACAAATAAATGCGTTTCAAACAACACAATATTATTAATGCTTTAGCGAGCAGCTATCGTTATGTATGAAACTCTCTTCCCGTTAATCATAATACACGATTAAAAAAAAAAAAAAAAAAAAAAAAAAATGGAAAGCCCAAAGTTGTGGATTATACGCATATGTCACATCGAATGGTGAACGTCATCGTATAATCGTCGGAGTTTATTGTCGTTACGGCCTTATTATTATACCTAATATTATAGCATATACTTTATACACGACAAAGCGCGTATGGGGCAATGCGCGCACACTGGCGTTGAAATTTTTAACACATTATTTCGTATAGTATATGAAGTGTACCGCATGTCTGCCGTGGCACTGCCGACCTTGTAAATTTCTTTTCCTTATCGTCGACGGCCGTATACCGTTTTTACACGGTCCTTATATCTACGGGACGTGGGGTGTGCGTATATTATACATAGGCGAATATGCAGGTGCAGGTCGTCGTGGTCGTCGTCGTCAGGGGTTGCGAAAACAGCTTCACGGGCTATTTGCGTGGTATGTGTCGTATTTCGAACGTGTCGTGTATTTCTATTGTGTGACGACCATGTATATATTATGGACATATATACGCGCGTTATACACGCGTTTGGTGAATTTTATGTATAATTTTTTTCTGCCTACTTGTGACGAATCGCAGACGTCGGTGCCGGCATGGTGTATATGTACGTATACGTACGGTATATGTACTCGGAGGTCGACCATTATTATCGTAACCTTACGCTGATGGAGAGAAAAAAAGGAAAATGTATATGTGAAAAATGATTTTCCGCCCGCGCGAGGCCATTCGAGGCCGCGGCTCCAATGCTGCTGCAAGTGAGTGAGTGTTTCGAAATCACAGCCGCCGTGTGAAAGGTGCATACCGCGCCTGTGTGCGGGGTTATTGTTACCGTGGTATAGTGCTATAGTAGTAGTGGTTGACGACGACAACAACGGTGGTGGTGGTTTGTTACCCGCTTTTCCGGGCCGATTTTCCCACCACCGTGGGATTTTGGTTTCATATATAAACTCCAGACGACCACAGTAACAGTACCACAATCAGTCTTTCCTTCGTTTGACTAACAATATAGTGACAATACAAATATATATTCAACAAACATGGGTTCCATAACTCCTCTGGTAAGTACAATTTTTCTTATTATATTTTATATACTATTTTACTAACTTACTTTTGAAATACAGTAACTTCATATTCGAACTCGAACTTTTTATACTTTTTATACATTTTTATTCTCAACACAAAAAAATAATAGAATATACATGTGTCGCACATACACGTACTTTTTCTATAACTTAACCGTAGTATAAGAGGTACATACATTGAAGGAACATTTTTACGAGTTCAATCGCACTTTTAAGTGAATATACCGCGCCGCAACTTGTACATCCGAAGTCAGTACCTTGTATAAAAAACGGTGTACCCGAATATATAAAAATGTATGGCCATATAGGTGTATGTAAACGCCGTTCGGTTTTTATTACAATTCCAATAAATTTTTATTAGTCTGCGACCGTAAAAACCCGCTACCGTATTCTCCCGTCGACGACTCACGGCGTGGACGACGTTTCGTGTAAACAACCAAGTTTTTTGCTCTTATTTTTTTTCCGTTCAGCGTCCCATAAAATCCTCCTAGGGGGAAACGACGTATAAACTCAGTATAAGGGACGCCCCGCTTCGTTACGGATCGTAAAGTACTGGCGGTCTACGTCGCGATCGTAAAAAGAAAAGAGAAGAGAAAAACCGTATACATACACACACTGATACACGTGTATACATGTGGCAAGAAAAAAGTACAAAACTAGTCGTAAAGTTTTATGAAACATAAGTAGCGTTGGCTTTTTAATGTTTTTCAAATAATTTGTTCGAGGTTTTACGGCTTTTCGGCAGTGGATTTTTATCGCTGCAGCTATATGCCCCGAACAACCACCTCGCGCAAAATCCACCTCCACCACCATCACCACCCACTTGGTGATTCGCGTATACGTTCTTTAACCGTTACCGACACAGTGTTATACGTACACACACATATTACCCGGAAACGACTGAACGACGACATGAATATTTCATATATATAATAAAAACACACCGTTTAAAAATATTTTACAGATAACTATCGCGTGTTTGGTCGGCTTGACGTCTTTTGGTGCGGCCAAATTGAGCGATAACGAAGTGGCAGAAGGGTAAGAGTCGTCGATTGCGGCACACTATTCATATATTATACTGTCGTAGTTAAACGATCACGTAGTCGTGTATACCGTAAAACATATACACGTTTAACCGTTACGTAGTGTTATATTTGTACCACCCTCGTCGTGTGGTATGTGTAATAATAATAAGTTTAATTTTTTCGTCTATGTAATATTATATTTAGAGTCATCAAACACACCCATTACCATACCGGTGACGTGGAACACGCGCACAAACACGACGGTGAGGCGCACCACGAGCACCACCATAAGGGAAGCGCCGAGCACGCCCACCACCATGGCGGAGAATTCGGGCACGGACATCATCACGGTGGTGAGTTCGGCCACGGGCATCAACACCACGGTAGCGCCGATCACAAGCACCACCATGGCGGCGAATTCGGTCACGGGCACAAGCACCACGGAAGTGCGGAACATAAACATCACCACGGCGGCGAGTTCGGACACGGACACCACCACGGCGGTAAATTTGGACACGGACACGAACATCACGGAAGTGCTGCGCACAAGCATCAACACCACGGCAGCGCCGCTCACAAGCACCACCACGGCGGAGAATTCGGACATGGACACGAACATCACGGAAGCGCTGAGCACAAGCACCACCACGGTGGAGATTTCGGACACGGACACCATCATGGAGGTGAATTCGGTCACGGACACGAACATCACGGAAGCGCAGCGCACAAACATCACCACGGCGGTGAATTCGGACACGGACACCACCATGGCGGCAAATTCGGACACGGACACGAGCACCATGGAAGCGCCGCGCATAAACATCACCACGGAGGAGAGTTCGGTCACGGGCACAAGCACCACGGAAGTGCGGAACACAAACATCACCACGGAGGTGACTTCGGACACGGACACCACCACGGTGGTAAATTCGGACACGGACACGAACATCACGGAAGCGCAGCGCACAAGCATCATCATCACGGCAGCGCCGCTCACAAGCACCACCACGGCGGAGAATTCGGACATGGACACGAACATCACGGAAGCGCTGAGCACAAGCACCACCACGGTGGAGATTTCGGACACGGACACCATCATGGAGGTGAATTCGGTCACGGACACGAACATCACGGAAGCGCAGCGCACAAACATCACCACGGCGGTGAATTCGGACACGGACACCACCATGGCGGCAAATTCGGACACGGACACCACCACGGCGGCAAGTTTGGCCACGGACATCAACACCACGGTAGCGCCGATCACAAACACCATCACGGTGGCAAGTTCGGACACGGACACAAGCACGGTGGTAGCGCTGAACATGCTCACCAACATCACGGCAAAGCCGCTCATGGCCACCACCACGCTGGTCACTCCAAACATCATCACAAGCACACCGTCTAATACCATATCACTCGCCCCTCCCGACGAAGTCGACCCACTTAGTCGCACCATATCGTCGTACTAACGACTCTGTTAGGACGAAGTTGACGACGACGACGGCACTCGTCCCCAATTCCTGTCCACATCATCCACCCCGCTGCATTTGGTATTGACTTTAAGGATACGGTAAAGGTTATCGGGTTCTTCGATTACTTGTTTCCAAAATTTCCCATCTCCGTCTCATCTCATATTTCCCGTCTTACCCTAACTCCATTCTGTCGTGTTTCTTTTACACATATATTAAACGTCTCCCTATTTCGTCGGCGGCGTTAGATGTTCTCATCGCTGTTGTCTTATCATCGCTGCTATCGCCGCCATCAGTGTTGCTGTTGATGTTACTCCATACGTTACCTTCTTTACACTAATTTCGGTATTCCTGAGTACAGAAATGTATGAATCGTTGTTACTGTTTGTATAACTTATATATTTGTTCTGTGATAATTTTAAGTGCTCATTTGTAATGATTTATTTTTATTACTACTTATATCGTTGAAATTGGGTCTTTTTATACGTATATATTAGTACTGTATATTCTATGATAATATGTTATTTCAGTTTAGGATAGACTGATCAAAATTGGCGGTGTAGCTTCCGGTTTCTTACTGTTATATTATATTCATGCATTTTATTTTATCGTATAGGTACATATTTACGTATACAATATTGTAATGTTTTATTATTGTTACCTATGTCAAGTTGTTTTGTTATATTAAAATGTTATTATTGGTTACCTATATAAATTGTTGTTATTCATATCGACTGCTGTGGATTTCGGCTAGCGCTTACTCGTTTACTATAATACTAAATCCAACTCACTGCAGTCTATACGTTAATATACTGTAGCAATGCCGTTATAATTATATATAAGAAATAATAACATTATATTGTAATACGCGCCCAATTATCGTGCCTTTATCACGTGACAATAATAAAAAAACAACAATATATAGATATAACATATATACGTACAAAAACGTGTTTATCCGTATCATTGTACATAAACGCTCTCGCATTTTACTGTCGCAATTGTAATAATACTACATAATATATATATATATATATATGTATATTCGTAAGCCACCACAGTAAGACATAAAAACATAGCTTTTATGTAACTGCAACTGCGGGTACCTATATATATATATATATATAACGCGTTAAAGACTAAATAGTGTTTATCTTTCCTCGACCCACGTACCACATGAATACCCCGTCGATATAAACTACAACGCTGCACTAACCCAATGATAACACGATATGTGAGGTTATTGGACCGTTTAGCCTTATATTGCTGCCATTGTCGTCCGTAATTTCCGTGTCGAATAATGATTTTCCACTTTTTTTCCCTCGGACTCCCTCGAGTGTTGTATACGCTGCACGCACGTAACACGCTCAATTGGATCTTATGAAATCCAACATAAAAATATAATATATTAATATATATACATGCGCACACCGCACATGCAGGTGTACCCAACGTGCACTGTCCATGTATACTTTTAGATCGCATAATAATACAATTACTAATGTAGATCTGTTTTTTCCCTTTGGTTTACAGGGCCCACCACAGCCGGGGCAGCCGTTCAAGTTTACTATTGGCGAATCATGTGACCGGATCAAAGAAGAATTCAATTTTCTGCAAGCTCAGTACCACACGTAAGTGTTTACTTTCATATAGATCTATACAATATATAACAAGGAAAATATATTTTACAGTACAAAACATTTATAATATCTAGGAGTTGTTTTAAAAGAAAATTTACATTTAAATTCACATATATAAATATATATATATAATATTAGGTACAAAACTGCCCCCGAAAAAAGTCTCGTGTATTATGTATATACATATATTATATATATATATATATTTATAGTATATTGTCATTATTCTTTGGATAATAATTATAGTAGGATGACCTATAAATTATAATATATATTTTCATCCGCATACCCACGAAGTATATACCTACGGATAATCGAGTTGCACACGTATATCTATCACGTACGGTTTGGTTTTCAGCCTGAAAATGGAATGCGAAAAATTGGCCAGCGAGAAAATCGAAATACAAAGGCATTACGTAATGGTGAGTGAGCGTGAAGGTCCCGGACAATTAATTATGTAGCATGAACAACCGCTGTACGCAATGCTTAAGAGCCGTTGATATTGTCGTCGGTATTAACAACGACAACTACCCCCTTAATGTCTGTGAAATCCCGCGTTCTTGCTATCGCGGCCTTATAGGCAAATGTATACATTAGATACACATCTATTAATAATGACATATTATCATGCAATTCATATTTTTGCTTCTTTTTTGTTTGAAGTGTTTGTTATCATAATCTGATTCGTATACATATACTCGGATTTATCTGTTCGAAATACACTAAATTTCCAAATCCTAATTTGTGATTTAAAAAAAAAAAAAAAAAAAAAAAAAAAAAATTATATTTTAAGTATTTAAATAAAACACTGCAATTTTATAAGAAAAAATCATTGTAGTTTCTTAATTTTATTTTTAATTCCGTCACAGCCGGGAGTAGGATATTACGTTGATGTATAAGTATAAAATATATAGGAAGTCTTAAATTAATAATGTGGTCCGCTCCTTTTATTTAAATGAATTAAATAATTGTTTTATAACATACTATTTTCTTTTATACTTGTTATTCATACCTAAACTTTTTTTTAGGAAATTATGATATCTGAAATTAAAAATATAGATTGTTTATAAAAATCTAAAAAGTAAAACAATGATAAAAAATTGATTATTTATAAAAATATCATTTTATAATTAGGTATTTGGAACTACTTTTGTAAACACTCATGAATTGTTTTAAAAGCCATTTTAATCAATCGCTTTGTGTTTATATTAGTTATTATTGGGGTGGTGATAACATGTCTATACTCTGTATAACATATTATTAAAGCGATTCTTATATACAAATTAAAACATTAAAACATTAAAAACGACGTACTCTATATGTATATACGTAATGCACTCTKCCTCCACTATAGACTAACAAATCATACGTATATCATATGTATTTTAATTTAAAAAAATGTCATAATGTAGTTAATATAATACGAATAACTGCAGTGGTAAACAAGGTATTTTTGTTAAAATAAATTTATTTGAGACTATAAACATGAAGAGTGCAGACGATCAAAGATTATAATATACAGAGAGAAAAAAACGTTTTGGACGATGAATTATTCGATATTTACATCCAAACATCCCTTATATTTGTTTTGTCTGTATTGTTTAATATTTGTTTTGTTTAATAYATTTTTTTAAATATTATACTAACATTGCTTGTTTATTTTTTGGGTTTGTTTTTGTTTGTCCCTTGCCATCAAAACAGTACCAAAATGGAAGTCGAAAAAATCGTCCAAGAAAAAACCGAAATGCAAAGGCATTACGTGATGGTGAGTACAGGTCACTATAAATAGTGTTCACCAGATGCTATTATATCATTGTGTAGCTTTCAAAGATGGCTTTTGCATGCGTAATTTTATTGTCATTGTTGTTGAAAACATGATTTTTTATTATACCTACATAAATATTGTACAACTCAGCGATGGTTATTTATTAAAAAAAACATCATTTTAAGTAGACGGAAACATCGCATTTGTCCACTCGATATACCGATGGATTCACGTTATATGATTACTTCAGAGCTGAACTTATCTCTGCGTAATCGAAAACTTATTTTCAAGTATATAAACATATTACTAGCTTTGATGAGTAGTGTGTTTATTACGTATTTATGTATCCCGAATGTTTCTTCCCGAACTATTTAGTTCGACGCCGCGACTTCTAAGAATTCGAGTAGTTTTAATATTTAATTAAGATAATATTTTGTTAAACGCTGCACTAGCTGTATAAAATAAAGTAATAAATTATGCACTTCGAATTTATATGTTTTCGATTATATTGTATAAATTATGGATATTATTTAAAGGCTAAAAATTCAATCATTTTTTTTCGATTTACGTTTCGTTGTTTGCCTCTAATGCATCTCGAAATGCTCTTAAAAATTTCGTTTGACCTCTTATAAAAATGCGTGTTGACTTATCATTATTATTTCATTTAAAAAAATAATAAAACGATTTTTGTCATTGTAATGCTTGTCTTTCGATTGGCTTAACGGTATGTCGAGAGACTATGTCACGTATCCGCGATAAACGATTGATTGTTGATACATATGTCGTCGAGTGTTTCTGCAGTATTCTAATTGAATTCTTTTTTATTTATTTACAGTACTACGAGATGTCCTACGGCCTCAATGTGGAAATGCACAAACAGGCAAGTATTTAATTATAACATATATTTTTTCTTTTCACCTTGTGTCGTGTTAAGTAACGCCAAGAAATCGCAATCATTTCATCTTCCCATTCCAGCTCTCGACTCCTGCATGTTTTTTTTTTTAATCCCGTTACGGCTGCAGTGCAAATTTCTGGCAAAGGGTCGTTAAAACCGTCATCCCACTGAATTAATATTTCGTTTTGTACAAAACGCCGGGGGAGAAATATGGCAAAAGCGGACATACATGGKGAGGGAGAGAGTTGTTATATATATGTATATATATATATTTACTGCAGCAGCAAAAGGGAGCGAAGGATTTCTCTCTTATTTTTTCACTCTACCCCTGCTGTCATCCGCTGTAAATTCATTTCGGCGAAGTAATCGCCTGGACTGTTTTCCACCCTAGTACTTTTTTTTTCAACACAACGTAATCTTCCCAATCCCTCCGGTTTTTTAACGAGTCCCCGATTAACTCGGCCGCCCTTCGGGCGAGCTCCCGTATAATAATAACAATAAGTGCCCCGGAGGTATATTTCCCGCCGTTGAAATATATTTCAGATTCCACCATGGTGTAGTGGTTGGTCGGAGGGGTTGCGAAAAAAGAATAATGAGGAATAGAAAGAAGAGAGATTGCTTAACGTGACAGTGACTGTTACACACCAGTGGTGTGCAATTAATCGTAGTATTTGGCTGCAACATTACAAATTATGCTTAGGTATAATATATACTACTAGCTATTATTACGATCATAATACTACACTATGTATTATATGGTATTCAAGCGAATTATAACTGACCATGAATACTTTGTGACGGTGATGTTGTGTTTATTTCAGCGTGATATAATGATGTGCATGTGTATAATGTGTACAGAGTGGGGATGCTGTATATATACGTAAATACAATCTTGCGTATCTACCATCATTGAGTGTTTGAGATACCGCGTACTTTTAGCGACGTCGTTTGGCGGCGGTCGATCGAAGTGAGTTCCCGCTAAAAGTATATTTTATGTATATAGGCGTTCACGATGTTTAGTGGAGATGCAATGCGGTGTGTACTTTACGAGTATGTGCAATAGGAAAGTTGAAGTCGAAAAAGTAGAAAATAAATATAGAGGAATGATGACGAGATTCGAGGGTTAGAGAAGAAAGAGAGAGCAAAAGTGCGATAGAGAAGAGTAAAAAAGAGGGAAAAGTATATATAAAGCCCTTCTGACAAAAGGAGAACGCAGACCGGGAAGCGGCTTATTTATATAACCAGGGTGAGGTTTTTCCTCCCTCATAGCTATTAAAACTCAGAGAGTTGGCACATATTACAAGGGTCGTTTGCGCGTTCTGCTTGCAGGGGTGGTGGCGGTGGCGGTGGCTGTCCCGCACCACTCGTGTCGAGTGGCAAAGCCCGAAGGAAAACATTATACCCGCGAAACACTCGAGCCTTGACGGTTTTCCGTTCCCCTCCATCCGACCCGACCCATTCAGAGCCACCGCCGCCACTGTATACAAGACCATGCACCGGTGGCGGCGGTGACGAACGATGAGGGTGGTGGCAAAAAGAGGGTAGCTCGCTCACGTAATACCGGAGGGCGATAACACAAAACCGTTTCACCCCGGCAACGACGCCACTGCAGTAGCAATCAGTATATATAAGCTGTTTTTCCACGGCGTTTATAATATATATTACATAAACGGGCTGTTTGTCGTCGTCACCGTCCCCCTCAAGCACACGCATATTATACACATTGAAAATAAAAACGGTCAACCCTCTCATCACCCATCACTGACTGACTCTTAATTAATTTCCTGCGCTTAATGTCTTTAACGACGTGTTGCGGCGATGCGCGCAAACTCCCGGAGATGGAGAAGGAAATCTCGGTACAATATATATATATTTATGTGTGCATAAAATATTAATGACAATATTAATTTGATTTTAATTTTGTTTAGACGGAAATTGCGAAGCGCTTGAACGCCATCATCGCACAAATAATGCCTTTTCTCTCGCAAGAGGTGAGTGATTTTGTCGTCGATTTTTTCATCTTATAAATATATTCATAAAACGAGTGTGACATAAAACATCATATCGTACACAGCGTAATAATGCGTTTATTTTATGTGTTGTTGCAGCACCAACAGCAAGTAGCCACAGCTGTAGAAAGAGCGAAACAAGTGACCATGACTGAACTCAACGCCATCATAGGGGTAAGATATTATATTATAAATTATAATATAAGAGTGTATAATCAACGTATATGATATAACGCTTCATAGCAATCGTTTTTAGGTGTGTAGGGCCATATAAACGAAAAAAATCGATGTTGGCGGGGGAGAAAATATTTTTTTCTTTTTTTTTTTGTACTCCGTCTCTTTCAATAATAATATTGAACCCGCATCGCGTCGCGTCGTCCCAGAAGCAATTAAACGACGCGTCGTGCGGCAGCAGCAATAGTTGTTGGTTTTTAAGAAAACGTATACCACGCGTGCAGTATGGTTGTCTCGTGCGATAGAGGGGACGGCGACAACCGTGGCAGCGGTGTCAGACCCGTTGGGTCGAAATCCAGTTAGCCAGTCCGGTCACGTTCGCGTCGGAAGTTCAGGACGTGGCGGCGGCGTCGGCGGTAACGCGCGTTGAATATTGTATGAACCTATTTCGGAGGCGCGTCGCGAATAAAACGTCGTCGTCTACGTGGGCATATGGGGTAGTGGTATTAAGGGGTGGCGTGATACAAGGGGGGAGGTACGATATCGTCGCTGTTATAATGCTATATAATATATATATATATTGGAAGGAATGAGAGGTGTGCGCATATAACGAGCTTGGGCTCGATATTGTCGTACCGAACTACGTGAGTTTGTCGATTTCACCCTTCATCCCGTCGCGTTCTTGGCTATATGATTCCGAGGTTATAATACAATATTATTATATCGCAACGCCCCGGGTCGGTAGTTTTTTTGTTTTTCACTATTATTATATTGTTTGCTGTTTGATTCGTTCCGGTGTACCACGATTCAGTTGAGATGGGCGTAATTAATGAAAAAAAAACACCGCATAATAATAATAAATTCAATCCCCAGCAGCCATATTATTCACACGTTTCTTAAATGACGGCGGCGTGCGGCGTATTAAACGATTTATAGTTTGTACGCGATAACGTTCCGTAGACGATTTGCGACGATAGCTGTGCTGGCGTAGATCATAATTATCGTGTTTACTCTACCTGGTGTATACACATAAGCATAGTGTGGGATATGGAAAAAGAAAGAGACGAAGGGTGAGAGATAGAGAGATATTTTCGATTAATGTTCTCCGCGCGTCGCGTCTGCCAGAGAGAGGCGAACCTCTCAACGTTTAATAATGACGGCGGCTGCGAGTATACCACGGGGTCGGTTGCGGGCTGGTGGCGGTGGTTATGAACGACGACGGCCCTTCTGTCGACGGAGAGAAGCTTCCGCTAATTGCGCTCTCCTCGCTACGTCCTCGCCTCGCCTTCCGTACAACCGTATTACACTACAAATGTTCCGGACGTGCGGTTTTTCTCAACGCACTTCGTTAGTCGGCAGCCGGTAATTATTATCGCCGCCGCGTCCTTCACCCCCAGAGTCTCTTCCCCCACACAGCTTCCGGTCCCATTTTCTTATGTATATAGATAATGTATATGCGTCGTTTATACTTTCGCGCGTGGCCTGCCTCGAAGAGGGTTGCAAAGTTTTACCGCACACCATTATTGTAATGTATACAGCTACTTCAGCTTCTACTCATTTGCTGTACAACAATAATTGTTGTTGTKCGCCCGCCCGGATGATAGAAAAAAATAAAATACATTTTACAGTTATTAAAAACAGTGTAGAGACTTCGTATTTTACTTATTTTAATATACGATGTATATTATATACAGGTTACATTGCATACGATGAAGAATCTTGTCTCCCCTTAGCTCTACATATTCTTATGTACTTATAGCTATATTAAAAAAATCGTTTAATTTACTTAAAAAGTGTATATTTGTAAAAAAGAACCTATATATTATATGTGCATTATTGACTATCGGCATTTATTCTTCTCACTGGAACCTTAGCGGAATTTCATTTTTTGACTCTTTAAATATTATATTTTGCTAAACGTGATTTCTTTTTTCACTCTTGCAGTTTKTAGTTGTTCGTGTATAGGTTGAGAACGCCGCCAAACAGACTTTTAACCGTGCATAAATCATTGCATAAAACGATCTGCACGCCGCAAAAACAGAGCAATGATTTTTTTAAACTGTTTATTGTGTGTGTTTATTATACGTGCAAATTCTTCTACACATATTTAAACATGCATATATTTCCTCTCGCCTCACACACAACGATTTACGTATTTATCGTTAGTGCACGTGTAACTCATGGGTGTACACTGTACATATAAAATTTATTCGAATAAACCAAAACGATTTTAACACCGTCGTTTAAATATTAATATACCAAGTTCATTCCGTTTTTTTGTGTCATCAATTAATGTACAGTTAAAAAATATTTGTATATCTGGTATATTATTCAGTTTTTTAGATGACTAATCATATACGACGCTAATGTAGGACGTTAATTTGTAATTTTTTTTTAGTTATTTTGATTTTAAAATCTACCTTCTCTTTGTATGTATCGATTTGTTCATTGATATCCTGATTTCGTATAATTCTATATTATTTACTCGAGTTGCTTATTAGTCTTAAGTTACGTAACAACACTTTATTTTTGATCTCGCATACACGCAAACGTTTAAATAATAATTATGAAATGGAAAACCTATCTTGATTTTTTGTCCTTTCCTTTGCTGTATAGTGCTGACATAAAGAAATTTCGTTCACACAGTCAAGTCCATTGTTGTTCGGTGTATGCAGTCTTTGCCGCCGCACCGTTGCTGTTATTTCTCGCATCCGTCAAAAGACTTCCGTTGTGTGTATATATCGGACAACGTGGGGTGGTGGGAAAGGTTTTCTGTTTCCGCACTCGAAAAGAAAACCCCCTCCGGTGTTAATGCCACTTGAGCGGTTTTTTTTCGAGTGTTTGAACAAAGCGGTTTGTTTGGAGAATATATACGCTACCTCCACCATTATAATATGTCTTAGCAGCTTTAGGATAGGGTGGAAAAGACGTCGTCTATACCTCCGTTTTGTCAAAACAACTATTGCTGCATAATATTAAAAGACCATTAATAACGAAATCAAATGTAAACTCACAATTTTTTTTTATTCCCTCACGATAAATTAACAAATTGTTTGAATATTTAATGTAACTATACATGCCATAATTTGGACAAGTTATATTTACTTTATACATATATATACATATATACACAAAGGTTCTTCATGTATTATATTTTTTGTAGACACCAAATATTGTATCATATTTCTGTATAATATTATTTGAAGCGATTATAGTTGACAGATAGGGGGATATCGTATACCTTTATCTGATTAAAAACTATTTTAGGCCCAAAACGTTTATTACATGTCGTTTTTTTTTTTTTTTTTTTTTTTTTTTTTTTAGCAACAACGTCCAGATCTGCCCAGGTTATTGGTAAGAATCACATTCAGATTTATAAAAATATTATACAGAACCACATAATATGTTATATATATATATGTTATATATATATGATATATTACGTAAATTTTCACTACAAACCCATCGATTTATAATTATGAGTTATAACACATATATATAGGTTATTAAACTGTCCTTTTATATAATATAGACTTCTTTTTCTTCTTCATCCCTCAAATGAACGTTTTGATGGCCTTCTAATAACTACATGTTATTATACTACACTTACGACCCACCATCTCTGGACGTGCAATACCAACGTCCGACACTATACCCTCCTCCCATCAAAACCCCACTAATACACATATAGGCGTTAAAGTACATACGTCGGACATCCGTTTCTGTTTCAGCAACAAATGCACGCGCAGCAGCTACCGCATGCGGGTCACGCGCCGCCCATACCAATGATGCCTCATCCCGGACTTCCGGGACCACCGGTAACCGCGTCCGCCAGCTTGCTAGGCTTGGCCGGTGCCGCCGGTTCCGCTTCTCATCCGCTGTCCATGCTGGGCGCCAAACCGACTGATATGCACAGGGGTGCCGATTCTGACAAGCCTTCGTCCGCCATCGGTAAGTGTTTGTTATATCAACATTTATCGCCTTCTTATATGAATCTAGAACTTATCATCGCTACAGTTTATATTTTATTGCGGCGATTTGTTCGTGGCTTTGTGTGCGGTAATCATGAAATTCAGTGAATATCGCCAACTTTACTATACATGCATCATCAAAAATGAATTCTTTTGACGGAGAAGCTTTTTTTTAAATGACCCGTGCTGCAGCCTGAAGTGTTAATATGCTAATGTATACCCCAGTGCTTGAGACTAATATTCGTTGTCATCTTCAAAGGGATACTGCGAGTGTATACGGATTGAGTGCTCTTGCTAGTGGTGATGGAGCGAGGGGAGTAGGAAAGCATCGAGCTGTAGAGCGTTGTAGACTAGAGTATATATAGAGTAGTGAGATAGGGGGTGCTACGGCCGTATTCGGTACGCTGTTCTCTCGAGTGGCCTATATACTGTGAAAAAGGGTTTTTATAATTTCCGCAGAATCCCTTTACTCTGCCGCCGAACCTCTCTCCATCGTAGATGTAGGTATTCACATGTGCACACACACATCGGTTTGCCTCGTATAATGTAAATATATATACCACTAGAAATAAAGTTACTTGGCGGTATATATATATATATATACATGCATTATGTATGTATTATACACATTGAGATTGGTTGGACCATTGTTATACGCGCGTATCCCTCTTTTTTTCTTTTTTTATTTCCGAGCCACTTACCCATAATCGACGGCGGCGGGCCGTGTCCCCTTCGAGCAATATAAACGCCACGCACACGTATATACATATAATACATGAATATTATATTATATTCGTATACAAGGCCGCCGCGTGTGTGCAATAAATTGGCTGTTGTCTCACGGGCGCGGGGTCATGTACACGGCTGCGCGTTTTAGGAAAATAAAAACACAAATTTTCTGTATCGAACGCGTTGAGATTGCAATTTTTTTTTCTCTTTTACGTCGTCGTTTTTAGGTCAAGAGCGCATTTTCTTTCACACATGTTTCGCCCGAATTCGACATTATTTTGATAAAAATTCCCGATTTGACACGATTTAATATGTATACAGTTACGCATTGTTATCGATCGGCTGGAACATTGTTGTAATTTTCTCTCGCCGTCTCCCTTTCCACATCACTAACACATCATTATATTTTATATTGTTTCGATATAATATATTTATTATCTCTTTTTCTACATGTCTGTTGTTTCTTTTTACTTTAAATAGTATACATTAGTAAAGAATAAATTTATATCTAAGTCCCAATATACCGTTCGCTTCTCGTATCAAACGACTAAGTTTTAGTTTTATCATAGTATTTACCTATTATGTATTATAATAAATTTATGAAATTAAATATTTAATCGTTATTATTTTTTTTATGATTTCAGGATTAAGTTCAGCGGAAGAAAGACACGTGAGTATAATATATTATAGTTACGTAATTGTAAGAGTTTATATTATAGCAGTAATAAATATGATGCATAATATATGTTAAATCGAACGTTATTTGTACTGAAAATCATATTACGTACACATATGTTTATAGTTAGTATGTATATATTATGTACTATATATACACATTGTTCACGTTGTTGTACTAAAATGAGTGAGGTTTTCGCGTGTAATCCACTGGTTTCGCCGTTGTCACCGTCGCATTCACTATTATACATAGCCACTTTCCAGGGATAAATCTTTGAGCCTCCAACCATAACAAATTTCCCGTCCGGGCAACAGCGTCAGCAGAAAGGGGGTTAAAATTAAATTAATGCACCCAGGATAGCACTTAATGAAGGGACGCCTTGTTACTCCGGTTGCCACCGCCGTCTCCGGTCGCTCGTTCGTTCTCGATCCCCTCGTGGTAGTTTCCCTGCACCATCAAACAAACAGCTATTGCAGTGTGTATAATGTAGGGGTCGTCCACCCTTCAACGCACCCTTTCCGACGTCGCAGAATAAGGGTCGGTGGCCGCCCTGCGTGTTTAATATCGGAACGAACCTCATCCATATGTATATGTCATCTGGTCGCACTCCCCACGAATTTAAATGCGTGTCAAATTCGATAGGGATCGGTCCCGCTTTTACCCTCTATTTCCTCTCACAAAAGAACCGACCGTCGTTGTGTCCCATATTATTATTATTCTGTCGCCGCACCCCGCGGACCGTTTTTGACGCGGCCGCCCGTGATTTTCAACAGTTATTAATTTCTTGACGTGTACACTAATATATTATTTACACCCGTATATATTTTACAAAATAATATAATACGTGTGCCATTTATTTATATTAATTTCATCTTGTCCATCCACGTATAGGTTTGTCGTAATTCGTTGGATATATTATTATAAATTTCGTAATCCAATACGGGTCTGCAGTCGAAGGGTCCGTCAACTACATTATTAGGTGTATGTATAAGTTTCCGATTACACACGCGAACCGCATAAGCATTTCTATATATCGCGGCCACAGGTACCTACTGCAAACACTCAATCAACCCCACTTGCGCTCGACCGCAGTATAAAATCACCGTAAAGTCGACTGTTCTATATTTTATGGGATTTATTTGTATATTATATTCGAGTAAAGTATCGAATAGGATAAACTGTAAAGTAAAAAAAAAAACGCTGAAAGAGAATATATAGTGTGTATAATATATTTATATATACTGTGTAGTTATTGAATCGTGGGTGGACTACTGTACACAATATATAATATCGTCATCGTCAAATCGTATATTTGTTTGTGTAGAAAACTTGGGGGATGAAAAAAAGAAAAACGGCAGAGAGAAAATCCGTGGAAATCCCCCGTAATCGAGGATTAGTTTTTTTCCGCTCGAGATATTTCTTCTTGCCAACAATCCGTTTCGTCTTGGACGGACGGCCCTTTTTCGACGACTATACTTTTACAATACTACTACGACAACGGCGATCCCCCGTGGGGATGGGAAACGTGGAAAAATCGAGGTTATTTCTTTTTCCTTTCTTTTTCTTTTTCCTCTATCGCGCCATGTATATGTATATACATGAACCTTCGATCGTCAGAGCGGTGTTACAAGAGGGTAAACTCGTTTAAGGGCGTAACGATAAAGTAGGGAGGAAGAGCTGTGCACCCGATGCGGTAACGTTATTTTCCGGTCCGTTTCATCAACCAGTCGGCCTTTCTAGGGAATAACCTCGCAGGCTTTATGTGATGTGTGTGCGTACATAAAATACCCTCGCATATAGTTGTGCCGACGGATGGGGTGGAAAAAAAAATCAAATAATGGTATAAAACAAGACTTCGAAGAAACGGATTACGAGGTCGACATATAGTAATAAAAAAAATATAAAAAATCCCTCAAGACTGTTTTTTCTGTGCTACTGACGTTTTTATGCGTGTGGTTCGTATATGGAAACGAACATGGGGAATCTTTAAATTTCGTCGAACTCTAATCGTTTGCGATTAAAATATGATCGATATTGTATGCATAATATATGTATTTTAAATATACTTAATACTATTTAGACATGTAATATAAACATGTATATTTTATATATAATGTGTATGACATTTCAAATTATATACGATATAAATCATAACATTATTTTAAACAGCTTTTTAACGATATTCCTGCAAAGTCATGTCGCATACTGACTGGCCGTGTAAAACCTAACTTATTATTATTTATTTAATGTTATTATTAATTATATATAGATATCATCACAAATAAAAATTACAACAGCATCACATCATAATATTGAGCGTATAATTGCATTTAATTCATTATTATTAATGTTATTTTTTTTTCGTTGAAACGTTCTGCTAATATTATCAGTGAACAAATAATATATGCGTGTATATTTAATTGATTCTTTCCTTTCATCTGTTTCAATTTGCGGAATTGTATCGAAAAAAATCACTTCATGGAAAATCATGTATATTGCTGTAAACTACGGCGTGAAGTAAATGAAAAAATATTGACTTTATTGATATATAGATAAGTTTTTCTCATCACGTCATTCTATCATATTTTAATATTATGGATTTTATATGATGAAATGAACGGTACGATACACGCACACGCACGTATATGTAGGTATATTATAAATTCTAATAGTGCGTATACCACTGTCGTAGTTTATTCGGTTTTTAACGTAGGCATCTGGTCGTAAAAAGAGAAAGATCGTTCATGTACCGGATTTACCGGTATACCAAGACCGTATTATGATAATAATAATAATAATAATACTCTACGGGTAACGAGACACAGGCGTAATATATAATATAATAATGTTTATATAGGGGACGCGATTAACTCGACCGATCTGGTGCTCAGATAAACCTCATTGACCATTGTACACTACGATTTACATAAAAAATTGTTTTTCTTATACATCTGCACTAAACAGTAACAGTCTAGTGATTATTATTTTCCATACCGTTTAGTATATTTTATTATATTAAAATAAATATTACTACTCCCTAGTCCTTATATCTTTTAACGTGCAAAAGTGTTGTGAAAACAACATAAACGTCTCTGGATTGCGGCAAGAGGTATTATTTTTACCGCGGTCGATATTGTTAATTAATAACGGATTGGTGGTGGCAGGGGTTCAAAGAGGCTCGGCGTGTAATAATTATTGTAATCGGAACCATTAACACGAGGACGGCAGCCGAAAGGGTTAATTTCGGAGACGCAACGACTAATCTCCGCGGTATTACTATAGGGGATACCACTTTCCGCCACCGACCCTATGCTTGTGTTCATTCCGCCATCTCTTCCTCCACACCCGCAACCGAATCGATAAACCGCAACGGACCGTATATGTGTATATATATATATATCTTATACCACCACGCGTACGGAAGAGAAGTTGAGTTTTCCGAAAACAACAACTATATTATTGCACGTTGGGCGTGCAGTGTATATATCGCATTATCCCTTCGCCACTATAAACCAATGCACGTGTGTGTAACGACGTGAGCGCGAGTGTTTTATTAAAACACGTGCCCACCCCGGAGAGTCCGCATCATCGAAAACCGCCAATATTAGACCCGATGAACCACACCGTGTAATTGAAATCATATAAAGATTATAACAACAACGATAACTGTGACAAATTAAATACATACCGATATAGTTCAGTATAACATTACGAGTTGAGTAGTCCGGTTGACGCATCCCACCCTCATTAGCCGTATTCAAGATTCGCCTCATTTCATTGCCCTTTAAATTACCCGCCATAATTCAACAAGAATTATATATATAATAATAATAATTTATTCTAACAATAAGAAGAAGCGAATAAATGGAATGTGGAGTGATCAGCGAACATGGTGCGTATCACAAAGTTTCTGGCATATACCTATTTACCTTGTCATGGAGATAATGTTATACTATACCTGCGCGAACGTATGCCGTTCAATATTACATACCACTATTCACCGTATATAATATAATTATCATAATATAATATTAGTTGTGTGTAGACATGTAGTAATGTTGTACTAATATAGCCATATAGGACTTATAGGTTGTAGGTACTCGTAAACAACAAATCACGCATAAATGGCGCCGTAACAAAGACAGTGTGTATTACAACCTACATATAAAATGTATATGGTTGTTTGAAATGTCAACAGTGGTGGTCGCATTAAATTAAAATTATTTTCTCGCGTTTACGTTTGTTTATTTATTTTTTTTTTTTGCACACACAAAATCGCATAATTTATTCACTTTTGCCCACCGCCGAACGATTTCAAAACAATTTTCTTCTACAACGCTTATAATAATATGTATATTGTCTCTCGATTATACGGTTATTGTTTGTCCACAGTTACTATGAATTCGTTGATATAGGTGGGGAATGGGGATACGTCGTACGGCGCGTGACGATGTGTATACCTATCTAAGTATTGGCTTCGAATTTTTTTTCCGTTAACCCGTCAAAACTAATTACTTATTCGTCAAAAAAAAAAAAAAAAACAAATAATGGATCGACTTGACAATTATTTTCGTTATTACCCCTCATCCCAATGAATCAGATTTCTTAAGTTACTTTTAATTTAGCTTCTACCGTGTACCCTAACAGTATACATATTTTGTCTGCACAGGTAAATATCCGACATTGATAAACTATTAAAGGTAGTAATGTAGTATGCGCGTGTTATTAGAGCTTATACCAATATAATAAACCTATACACAGCGTTAATATTATTAATATTATTAAGACACGGGTTTGTCTAACTTGCGTAACGTATTTATTGTTATTATAGACATACCATAACTAATAAAGTATATATACAGCGTGTTATACTACGTATGTTCAGTCCTCATTTTTGTATCTTTTAATATTACCTATATTCATTCAAACTCAAGTTCGTGTAATATTTAAATGTGCTTAATGACATGGAAATCCAAATTTTTTTTATGAATACCGCTCTTCTTTTCTATATGAACAAATGATTTTTTAAATGTTGTTGATGTATCTCAATATTCTAAATCGAATTTCGAATGAGTAGTTATTTTTGAGTTATCAAAATAATAAAAYGTACCCATATTATAATATTCAATCAATGTACAATCAATATATGTATGTATAACTATACTAAAAATAATAATAATTACATAATCCTCCAATTTGTATATTTCAATAGTTTATAATCTGCATGTTTCGAAATTCACAGTAAAAAAAAGTGGTTCTCTCATGAAAAAATGGAGTTTGTTATTGGAAATTGAATAAATGTTTAAAAAAAAATTATGTTGAGCATGTTTTCTGAATCCCTCTGTAATTCCGTGTAATATAATATACGTGTATATTTTTACTGCACGTCGTTGTCTCGTTTGTAATCAGGCGCTGACGGTTGGTTTCGCTGTGCCTAACAAGTAAAACCGAATAAATAACGTTGTTGTGTCGTCGTCGGGTCGTTTGATGTTTAATTAAACGTTTGTTATTGTAGGTACCTATACTATTATAACTAATATTACGACACGATAGACAAGTGGAATCGGAAACCCACCGCGGTCGTCGGGCGTCGGCAGCGTTTGGCATAATATATATTATAAACTATCGCGTGTGAATTAATTACACAAAACGCCGCACGTCGTGTCCTGTTCGCGGGCGCTCGCGCGTGTACACACACGTCACACACACACGCCATCATACGTTCACCATACGTTAGTTTATGTTTACAATACGCGACGATCTACAATGATGTTTCGTGCACATATTATATATGCAAAAGTCGTGTTTTAATAGAATATTAATTTCTTCCTGTTATTTATYTGCAAAATATAATATAACAACTACTCGCCRGGATATAGATTATATTATTATGATATAATTTTATTATACTTAACACCGTGGAATACCCAATAATAATATTATTGTACATCGTTTACATGGACGAGAGCTGATCGTTTTGTCATATCTGTCCCTTCCATCACGCGTACTACCCTCATCCCTTATTTATATAATATGTATGGGTCGTTATATACGTCGTCGCGGTCCCCTAGATTTTATTTCGGGGTGAAAAAAAAATCACCGCTTGTAAAGATCTTAACGAGTCGGGTCAATTGATAAATTCGGCTTTTTCCTCCGACGAAGGGTCTGAGCGGAATTTTGTGGTCGTGTTTGCCATCATATAATATAATACAYATATAAACCCGCGTTGTTCCTCTCACTCGGTATACTCACTCTATCGCATTTTTATTGTTATCAACCTTTTCGGAGAACTATACGTCTTTTTTCGCCCTCTTTTTGCTTTATTATTTTTATTATTATTATTATTACTGAACAACACGACGACGACAACAATGCGAAGGTAGATGTTATATATTATAAACCGAGGGGGAGGGAGACCGACCGCGATATCATCTGTCAGACTGCCGCGTGTGTGTGTGCGAGTCTTACGCGGAAGAGCGGGTGATGAATTGGAAGCGGTGAAAAAGCGGAGGAGATCGTTATCAAAACAGCAGCCACGCGAAGAGACACGATGCCGAGTCCGTGGTGCATGGTGCGGCGGGAGACGTGATTGGATTCCGGAGGGGCGTGTTATTAATCCCCGGGCGAAATACGCGAAATACGCGAAAATCCCAGCCGGCGAATTCATCACGTGGCTGCGGCGGTAGTCTGTGTGGGGCGAGGAGGTTTTTGTTGCCGGTATCCCGCCCTCACGTCTTACCCTCCGGCGCGTATATATATATATATATATATATATATATACACGAGAAAGAACACGCACACACACACAACACCATTTGAAGCAATATATAATATAGCTCCTCGTGCAGTAGCGGCAGAACTCCCCTTATTTTCCGTCTCTGGCACTCTGTCATTGTCTGTCCGTTTCTCTTTCTCTCTCCGGCCCGCAAAAACTCTTCCGCTACCGTCGCCGCCGCCGTTGCTGCTGGTACTCAAATATATTTATAATGTCAGAGCAACTACGACGACGACGACGTGAGCCGATTACAAGTTTGCAAATGAATGAATTAAAACCACCGCTTCATCCCCCGTACTGGCGTGCGTATATATATATAAATTTATATGGACGATATATATGCGAGATGCTACGCTAGTTTACCCTCCGTCTGGACGGGTGGGTGAGGGGGCGCGTTACACACGGCCGATTAGTTCTCGATGAAGTTTAAACCGAGAACCGCAGTTCCGCCGTCGCCGCCGCCGCCGTTAACAACAACCTCGTAGAGCGCGCGCGCCTTCTTCCGCCCTCACTTTATACCTCGTTTTCGCTCGTTGCGAATGTACGGTAAAAGCTTTCTCGTCCGCCACTGTTGCTGTGCTTCTTCACTTCTCGCTCACCAGACACAGTCAATTGTCTCGGAAGTTATATTACACACTGCACCGTCGTCGCTGTATGACGCTGACGCTGCGGCGGTGGCGGTTTTGCTCGCTTCGCAGCCGCAGGAAAACAACGACGGTGTTTCCAYACTCTACACCTCCACGCATCCCTCATGTCATCTCTGAATGTGTTCACATTTTCATCATAACGTTGTTGTATAATATACGATTTTATCGTATTAATTATAATGCATAATATCAAACGATCAAGTGTCATTCATTACAAAATTCACTATATTATTATTATGTATATGATGTGTGTGTATAGTATTTTGGTGTTCCCGAAAGTCGTTTTTTATTCTGTTTTCTGTCTTTATGACAAATAATAAAAATAACAATAAACTTTTTTTTTATAATTATTAAATAGACTTTCGTCACATTACGGCTAGTCGTTATAATCTCATATTTATTAATGAGTAGGTACATTATATATTTGTTTTGTATACATAATATTCGATGTGTGTTTGATTTTTATTTGAGCCCACTAATAAAAAATCGTACAAGTTTTGATCTTCAGCATTATGTACAGTTATATTTCTGCATATATATTTACTTATAATAACAGTTATAATGAGCATAAATGTGGATACTTTTCAATTAAAATGAAATTTTCATTAAACGTTCTGCTTTGTCGTCGTTGTCGTCATTAGCAGCCTGAGTAATTTGTAAAACAATATTCATAATTGAAATTTGTTAAAACACGGTGAACTTTCGCGCGCTTAATTGACTGTGATGAAGACTATCTTGAGGGTTAAGTGAGTGCTGTGTATATATACTCATATTAAAGGTAGKCATAGTAATAATTTCGTTTAAAACTTCCCGACTACCTAGTACCTATATGTGTATAATGTATATGTATACATTATAAAACGCCTTTTTTCGGAGGAAATTCGTTATAAGTTTATTACATATTTCGCGTTTACAGTGATGATGTGCGACACGTATTGTGTCTCTTTGTTAAAAATAAAATCCTTCCTACATCGAAGAATCGGGCTGAAAATTCTACGATAATGTTTTCACGATCGATTTTGTTATTACCGTTGGATTTTGTGTTCGTTAAAAACGAATTTCGATGTCGTGTATAAGATAAGAGAATAGACCCTTCTAACACAAGTCTCGCGGAAAACCGATGGAGGCCGCAACATCACGCACGTACATAACACCAATGTTCTATATAAATTATAGTACAATATATGTAGTGCGTACTGCTATGTGTATAGATGACTCGATTAAGGGTGGCGAACCGCCGTAAAATGTTTCAATTTAACAAAATTTATACAACGCAGTCGGTCGTCGTTGCTGCAGGACGCGCCTTCTATATAAATTAACTATCGCGTCGTATAGTCTCGTTGGGATTCGGGCGCAGGCAAAAGCAATTAACACCACACCCGGCAATTGGCCTTCTAGCGCCCCCGGGGAATTGACTCTCTATTTTTTTTCCCCTCTCGCGTCGGCAAACGCGCGCGCCAGAGGTTTATTTTATTTCATCCCCTCGCCTCCGCCGTAGTCTGCTTCGCCGTCGTCAAAGTCGTGTAGTTTATATACACGCATTATACGCTTGTACTCTCTACGGGTATATAYTWYYCACCCATCTCCTCACTCGCCAGTTTATGGCTCCCGGGAATTGGATTAACTATCTTGTACGTATGCGAGGACGCGGGTGGGGGGGATGTTTTTATTGGGTCCTTAGGGTACGCGCGCGCTCGCGTGCGCGTGTGTGTGCGTGTGAGTATACCACGGGGGGTCTTGGGCGAAAACGACCAACGCGCCACATGTTTTTTCTCCGTCTTTCTTTTTTTATGACACTACACAACGTTATTTATTTATTTCCCGCGCCGTCGCGCGTCACCCTCCCGACTCTTCTTGCTCGTATTCACTTCGACAAATGTTATTTTCCCCTCGTGATACACACACGTATACCACCATTCACCAACACACATTCCTACAACCCTCGACATACGACGACGGATAAAACCACATAATTGTACATATAAGTTTCATTCAATTCAAATATTTGGTTACCTGCAATGGTTTTTTTTAACGAAYGGCCGAAATCACACACTGAATCATATATAGAGAGAATGAGAATAAATATAGGTGTTTGTGTGTGTATATGATCTACCTACGTAAAGTATATGATACCTATACCCACCAAAGACGAGTACAACAACAACAGAAATCCTTGATTATTTGTATTATTATTATTATTATTATTATTATTATTTTCATGGTTTTTTTTTTCATTTTGTTTACACAGAGGAGTTCAATATCACCTGCAGAAAGGGAGAAATTTCGCGTCAGGAGCTCACCGGATATTGAACCGCACAAAAAAGTGAAAAAAGAAGAAAAAGATTGTCACGTAAGTTCAGCTCTTTTACTTATATATATATATATATATAGAGAGAGAGAGAGAGTCACACACATTCGCTACATGTGCTTGTATAACTCCATGATATAACATTTCGCCAAACTTTTTCCCGACCATTAAGCTTTTATACTCCGTTTACTCATCACACGCTTCCCCCAAACGTATTACTAAATCGTTTTTTTTATTTATGTTTTTCTTTTATCGTTTACAGGCGAGCGATGGTGAAAAAAGCGATCAAGACTTGGTAGTCGACGATGCCAGTGAGGTATGTTATATACTTGATACTTATATACAATATAATTTGCTGCTCCTTGTCCCGTTACAAAATATACGCTCTCTCAAATCACAATTTTTTTATATTCTGAGGCTGAAAAGGAGAATMCAAAATATACTTATAATATACAATATTTTATTTTAGCTTTATAACCGTTTTTAAAAACTTATAACCATATTCGCGCTCATTTTAAGCTTTGATATTTGCTGCCGTGTTATTATATCGAATTCTATATTTAATTATTTGATTTTTCTTTTACAAATTAGTACGATTTGAATCTTTATTCGATGTACCTAATTTTTGTGTTACCTAAAAAAAAATTTCATTAAAATATTGTTGTAGGTATATTTATAATAAATTTTACGTAGGTATCTTCTACATTATATTTTACTTAACTGTGTTCAACGAGTAATAGTTGGGCTTAAAAAAAATTACATATAAAAGTACTGCCTGCCGTGTATAATAGGATAACGAAACCTCGTAATAATAGTCGAAGAATGTCGCTGCAGGTATTAACATAATGTATAATATTCCGTTTTACAGGACCCCGTCTCGCCGCTTAATGGTACAGCCTCGCCCAGAGAAAACGGAATTGACAAGTTACAACCCAAAAAGGAACACATTGGACCACACAGGTATAATTTGCATACTAATGTTTTATAATATATTATTATTGTTATCAACGCTTGTACACGTTGTTAGAGTATATACGTATATAAGCGTAGGTAATATTATGTTTGTTATTATRTTTATTTCAACAACGGATGCACTCACTCGTTTATTCATATCTTATATTATGTTATTTATTACAGCCCGCGGAGCGGGACTTCGTCCAATGCCAGCACTCCCTCCACCAAGAAGATGGAAGACAAACCTAGCACACCGATATCCAAATCAATCACGCCGACGAGCGGTGGAAGCGGTTGTAGCGGGGCCGCTGGCTCCTCAATGAAACCCATGGGGGTCAAAGGACCTTCGCTAGGTATTAAGAAAAACCGCAAAATTATGCGACTCGATCTGACGTCGAATCGCAAATTATTTTTCATTTAACTAACTTGTATTTTCCTCGTTGTTTTGCAGCGCAATACCCGCATTACCTGGCCGGGGGTGCAAATCCGCATGATCTTCAAGCAGCTGCGGCTGCTGCAGGCGCTTACGGCGCCCTACACAACAACTTGCCACCATCAGCTGCGTTAAACAGTTACCCTAGGCCGGCGTTGGTGAGTATTACTATACCGACAAAGATTATGATTTATTAATAAACACGCTTAGAGTGTGTTATAAAATGTATAGTCTACAATAATAATTCTTAATCGACGACGTTTTTTGCAGGTCGGTTACGATCCTCACGCACAGATGAGAGCACCCCTTGGACCTGGGCTGGGAATTCCCGGCGGAAAACCGTAAGTAAACTTGATACCATTAATATTTAAAACATGATGTTATGTGATATAACTTATATCATTATTAGAATATCTGTGTCACGTGTCTGGCAGAGGATCATAAAGCGCTCAAGTTCGATACAAATATTTAATAAATTATGTATTTAATATCGATGTCTAAGCGACGTTTTTCAAGGTTTTCGGAATAAGCAAAATCATTGTTTTGTACGCCTGAAGCGTCTTGTGAATCCTATTTTCGGAAATTCATTACCTATCTCTTTATATATTTATCACAAAATAGTCAAACTTTCAGATAGAACCCGTACCTAGCTACTATCCATGTATGCTATGTCGCTTAGATTATCGATATGTTTTCAGTTTACCCAAACCCAGTACATTTCTTAATCACGTGTTGAATACATCCAGGTGACATACACACATACATTGATATCATTGGCAGGATAAACGAAACAAAATTTTGAACCTTATTTGCTTCCTTCTAAAAAAATCTAATTGTATATCTTTTAATAAAATAAAAATATCCGTTGAAATAAGTACTGCAAGTCGCTAATTTTACTTGCATAAGCATTTTTAACACATCGCCATCACTTATTCGGTAACAGCTATTTTCGAGTGATTTATTGAAAACAGAATAAGAAATATAGTAATATTGAGTTCCTTAAGAAAAAGAGTGTTTTCATAAAAATAAATAAAAATGGTCCTTTATCGAAGTTGTGAAGTATTATGTTGAGCCATATCCTGCATATACCATCCACCGTTCGAAGACGATCGACGTGAATATTGACAATATATAATTTTTTTTAAGGGCTTATTCATTTCATGTGAGTGCCGAAGGCCAAATGCAACCGGTGCCCTTTCCACCTGACGCATTAATGGGTCCCGGCATCCCGAGACATGCCCGCCAGATCAACACTCTCGGGCACGGCGAAGTCGTGTGTGCCGTGACCATCAGCAATCCCACCAAGTACGTTTACACTGGCGGCAAAGGCTGTGTAAAGGTGTGGGACATCAGTCAACCTGGGTCCAAGTCACCCGTATCTCAACTAGACTGTTTGGTACGTATAAATGATGTATACAAACTTACAAGAAAACATATTTTGGTTGGAGGAATAACTTGATGGTAAAATATTTATATAGTTTTGGATTATATAAGTAAAATACAACAATATTAGAATCTTAGCCTAGTGATGAATGTATTTTTTTACAATAATGTTTTTGTGTTTATCGTCAACATTTGGGTTCCTAGTAAAAATAGTCCAATTTTCGATATCAGTATCTTTTGTGATAAAAATTGAATCTTGCTGGTGTTTTGGGAGGTCAATGTTAAAATTCACTGTAGTTTTCGAAAGCGTTGAGGTATATAAAGAAAATAGGAGAAATTATAATATTTTCGCAAAACCAATTTTTGAAAAAAATCTATTTTATTTATTTTTTGTCGTTAAAATCGTTTTCACTTAGTAAAAAAGCTTGAAAATTTAACGCAAGGATCCTCATAAGATTATTTAATAGCAGCTTTAAAAATTTCAAAGTTACAAAGGCATGATATCTGATATGCAATTATAATGCTAAAATTTTGAAAAAATTCATCATAATCCTGAAAATTTTCAAATTTTTTTTCAGTAAAATTCTTAAATGTTATTTTCATTTCTAAAATGAGATATTTTAATAGGAGATACACAATACGTTTTTCTACTTAAATAAAAAAAAAACCCATCGATAAGTTCGATACTTAAAACTATAAGATATTTTAGATTTTTATCAATTTTTTTAAAATTATTTAATTATATTATTCATTCAAGTATGCTAGCAATGACACAACGTCTCCGCTCAGAATTGCTTTTCGTATGTAACGATTTATCATTGGATTCAAATAAAACACATCCATTATAATTAGTAATTACATACTCGACAACTACTGCGTGTATAGCAGAGCAGTATATCCACTTTTAATTTTGAAAATTGGGTAAATTTKACGACGATCTTTACAAACTAAAATGTCAGATGGTCTATTAAAAATATTACAATTTTGTATCTATGWAATTTTAGAGCATCTCAATAAATCGTTTATGTAATGTGTGTATATAATATATCAATAATTAGGGGCGGCAAATGGTCGTATCTACTAAATTATGTTTACGATATCAGTGATGTACTGATGTGTATTAATAATATAATCGTATTTTTTCATGTTATTTTGATTGCAGCAACGTGATAACTACATAAGATCTGTAAAACTGTTGCCTGACGGCCGGACGCTCATCGTCGGTGGAGAAGCCAGTAATTTGAGCATATGGGATCTGGCCTCGCCCACGCCGAGAATAAAAGCCGAGCTTACTTCCAGCGCGCCAGCGTGCTACGCACTGGCCATCAGTCCGGATTCCAAGGTACGCGAAGAATACCGCCATATTATGTCCCTCGATGATGGTTTTCCGTTCTCGATCGCCAATCATAATGATCTACATTTTTTCCTCGTCTCCGCAGGTGTGCTTCAGCTGTTGTTCGGACGGCAACATAGCCGTGTGGGATTTACATAACCAGACGTTGGTGAGACAGTTCCAAGGGCACACGGACGGAGCGTCGTGCATCGACATATCTTCGGACGGTTCAAAACTATGGACCGGTGGTCTGGACAACACCGTCCGCTCTTGGGACCTGAGAGAAGGTCGACAGCTACAGCAACACGATTTCTCGTCACAGGTATGTCTCTCACACGAAATCGCATCCGTTTTTGTTTACCTACCTGTACTGCATGAGAGTTTCCAGAAGTTTTTCTTGGGGTGGGGGACATTATTAATTTAAAACATAAGTGAAGATTTTTTTATGCATTTTATAAGTTATCTATTTTACTAAAATGTCGAGTTACAGATAATGCTTAGGAAAATAAATTTAAAATTCTGAGAGGAGCTAGTGCCTTGTCCTGCTTCCTCCCCTTGGGGACGTCCATACTGTACTGTTTACCTAACATAAAAATCGTCATATTATAATATATCACTCGTCGTTTTTTTTTATTAATTTTTAATTTTTACCACGCAGATATTCTCGCTGGGATATTGCCCTACCGGCGAATGGTTGGCCGTCGGCATGGAGAACTCCAAYGTCGAAGTGTTGCACGCCCTCAAACCAGACAAGTACCAATTGCACCTGCACGAGTCGTGCGTGCTGTCGTTGCGCTTTGCGACGTGCGGTAAATGGTTTGTGTCGACAGGCAAAGACAATTTGCTGAATGCATGGCGCACACCGTACGGCGCTTCCATATTCCAAGTGAGCGTCGCTTCTATTCCTTTGAAAATCTTTTTTCTTCTTTTTTTTTAATGCTATTTTTACTCATTTGTTTCTTTTTGTTATATTTATAGTCTAAAGAATCTTCTTCGGTATTGAGCTGTGACATATCGGCCGACGATAAATATATCGTAACTGGTTCCGGAGATAAGAAAGCAACTGTTTACGAAGTTATATACTAGTAAATAATGTAAAATGAGAATTTCATCGTTTCGGTGTTCATTAGGTGTAGTAGAAAAACTCCAGGTGTTTATCTAGCGTTTATTGAACATTTTTTTGTGATAATTATTTCCAATCTAATATTATGACTATTGTGACTTAGTCTATAAACATTAATATACACGTAGCATATTATATATACATATAAACAGAATCTAAAAATTAAAATTTTTTACTTTCAAAATGTATGAAATTATAAACATTAAATTAATAATTGAAATTAATTGTTTAATATATATAACACCTGTTTTAAAATTAATACTCGTAGTCATTTATGCTTTAATCAAAGTCTCATTGTTTTTCATAAATTGATACTTTGATTTTTAAAATGATTACTGTGAATACCAGCATTGTTGACACTTTTTAGGCTTAAAACTATTTTGTAAATAATATAAAAATAATAAAATACTATTATTATGATGTCCCCGTTTAAGTTCCCTCAGTAAAGATCTTTCGAATACATAAATATTTTTTATCATTATTATCATTATTATTATTATTATTCTTATTATTATTATTATTAAATTTTAAGTATTGTATTTACTCTATTATTTTCTTAAGTGTTAACTTTGTTCTTTTCTATTTTGTACAAAATAGTAGTTAGAAAAATTATTTTATAAGTTTTTGTTAATTTTTTTTTTCGTTAGGATCTAATAGGTAAATTATTATGATGTGGTATCTTTAGACACCTTTTTTACCTAAATAGATAGAGAACCCTTTGAAAAAAAAATTAAAATTTTATTGTTATTTAATAATTATTTATGTTTATTTAAATTAATACATTTCCCCCGATATTTTATAATATTGTGCTATGTAGTACCGAGTATTTTGTTTAATAATTTTTAATGTATAGTGTTCAATATAGAATTCTGTACAATTCATTATTTATACAGAAAATCAGAAAATAAAAGAACCAATTTATTATTATTTGCTTTTACTCTTTTGCACTTTAATCAGAGCAGTTTCTCATACTTATTCAGTGGCGCCGAAGTCCTAAAAATCTAGTAGGGCGAAAAATATTTCAAGAGGCCCAACATCTTAATATCGGCAAATCTAAAAATGGCATACCGTTGAGAGGAAAATGGTCAATATGAAGCGGCCCTATCTTAAATTTTCAAAATATGTCGGGCCATGGCCCGACCTTAATATAGGGTTCGGCGCTACTGTACTTATTAATGTATCTTAAACTGTCTACTATATTATGTCCAACTGTGTAATGAATGATTCATTTTTTAGCATATAAATTTTGTTAAACTAATAAATTATACAGAAAAATACTCATAAAACCCTATTTAAACATGAGCCAAGGGGTGCAACTGRTGGGCAATTCTGTAGCGCAGCTGCTATGTATGGGATACCTTCACTCATAGGCGTGCGCAGGCCTCTTTTTCAGGATATGCAGAAGGCTGACAATAGCGCGCCCTGAAAGTTATTTTAAGCTCGTAAAATTCTGATAATATGTATACACAATTCACAAATATTGAAAAACCTACTGTTTAATTAAAAAAAATTGTAATAAATACCATTAAATAATACAAGAAGTATGTATTTTGCAAATACTTGGAAGTTGATAACTGATAACTGGATGTTTCAATTTTCCAGAGTCGATGTTCGCCTCTCACAGAACTTCAGGTTATGCAGCTACATACCCTGCATACCCCCTGCGCACGCCTATGCCTTCACTCATATAATAATATACTATTCAAGACTACATATTGAAGTACATATAGTTACTATTCATTATTAGACAAATTCTTCATTTAATAGTTAATACTAACTAAATTACTATTTATTTGATTGTGTGGAAAAGTGGAAAATAACTCCAACTCCTACTCCTTCATTTTGGTCACCTGCTTCCGTGCCCGCCTAGCACTAATTTTTGATTGCTTCTATCTGTGGCCATTATTAAAACTACTTCCAATATTCTTATGGCATAACTAACCATATCATCATAACAGCTATTAAATATATACATACACACAGGAMCGACACTTGGGCACAAGCAAGTTTAACATTGCTTTAGCGTGGCATACGGTTTTAAAGAAATTGAAAATTAGGCGGAAAAATTAAATAAATATTGATAAAGAAGAGACTAAGAAAATTATTATAACTTTCACTCTAGGACAGAAAATATCCAGAAAGGGGTATGTATACACATGGTATAACCACAACCTATTATAAGACACATATCAAACTGTTACATATTACATAGTTCTAYGTTGGATTTTAAAGATTGTTAAACTTAAAAGAAATAAAAAAATTATTTTAGTATTTGATGAGAAATTTTGARTGGGCCTCTGATATTGCTAAAGAGTATTAAATTATTTAAATAATTAACTTAATGTTTTAATTCTATGAAGTTTTTTCTCATGTTTGGGAAATTACTGAAATAGAAAAATTAACTCTAATAAAAAATTAAATATCAACGACTCAATGTTAAATAGATATGTATTCTACAGTTATGTCCAATTGATCCCAAAACACKTTTAAAAGTTGACAAATTAAATTTTTTCCATAATATTTTTTAAATTTAATAAATTTTTTTGAACTAGTAAAAATTTAACTTCGGCGATAAAGGACATTAGGTAACAAGGGTTATTTTTAGTAATTAATATTATACATGTCAGTTTATTACCTAGTAAGAAAAAATATGTTTCTGTCCAAACTCTACATAGTTGTATTATATTATTATTCAAATAAAATGTAAGATATTAATAGTTATCATACTACCTACTTAATTTATTATCATTTAAAAAATATTTGAATTGATGAGAGAAACTAATACCATTTATTTTTCTTATCTTTTATATTAATTTAACAGTAATATGTTGTTAAATATTAAATTTTTTTTCTAATAGAATATTTGATATATAGATAATATATAAACATGTGTGTACACATTTTTAAATTAAAAACGTAGATAATATGATTTGATTTGAAATAATATTATTTTTCCAYTAAAAAATAATTAGCAATTTATATTAAAAGTTTTGCTTTCGTTTCATACTAATTAAAATAATTACTGATAATTATATTGTCTATCTGTGAGTAGTATCCACTCTAGTTGGACTCATTAGTCCAAAATTCAGATAGATCCCTCCTCCTTGGCATTTTTTGTTAGGTATTAGTAATCGTTTTATAGCATTTTTYRGTAGTTTTTCAATTTTTGTAATATATTTTTAGGTACTAAWTGAAAATATAGACAGATACATCATCTCACTATTATTGCACATTTAGGTTGCCGCCAACAGAAACTCCGTGTCAAGCAGACTGTACAGTTATAAATTTGTAGTATTCAATCAAGATATTGAATTTAATTATTCATTTTAAACTAAATACCATAATTAAAATAWATATTACTATCGAATGTGTACTGTTTTAGGTAGTATATTCAATATTGCATGTCATCAGGTTATTGGTAATACTAATATTATTTGTTTGGTACAACAACATTTGTATTTTTAGACGAAAACTAGCTGATTGTAATTAATTGAATATTTTTATTTCATATTTATGTGTAAACGTTAATATATTATTTTAAACTTAGTAGGTTAGTAGGTACCTACTTCCTAGTAAGTAACTACAATTTGTTTATATTTCAATCTTTGTCAGTTTTTTGAGCTTGTGATTTGTGGTGGATTGGTGTTAACTGTTTAGTAACTAATAAAATAATAAATAAAAATAAARTCAAACCAAACATTTTGATTTGACGCGCAGTTATCAAAAGGTACGCCATCCCTGGTTTAGTTTTTTGCATTCTATTTATTTAAAAACAACAAGTATATATAAATATTGWTGAACCGACCACCAAAGAAGGAAACTCGATTTTTATTATTATTATTTACTATAATATATTATAATGCAAATACGAATCTAAATTAGAAAAAAAATTGACATATTTTAACTTATTTTTTGGTTTTAAATATTTTTAWTTTTATTAATGTATTATATATATCATAGTGTATTATGATTCAATTGCAACAAAATAAAAGAATAAAAACCTACGAAAATATGATTATATTATAATATATTATAGTAAATAATAATGAATTAAAGACAAAAAATGATAATCTAATAATTAATCAAAATTCTTTTATTTCTGTTAATAGTTTGAAAATAAATAATGCAGAGGTTTTGTAAMAACAAAACCCACGGTTCTCATAAAAATGGTGGATTTTGACTTCAACTATATAACCATCAGTTAGCGTTCTATTTTATTATATATTTTAAAGGATTTAGGTTAAGTACCTTTTTGTGATGATTAYAGAAATGTAATTAATATTTGATTTTGTCTCATCTCACAATATTGTTATCAGAAAAATAAAAGAATATCAAAATATTAAAATTTTAATCATGAACTATCTTAATTCAGATTCTAATTTAAAATTCAAACCATTTACAAATTTATGACTAAAATCCTTAGATCATTGTACCTATATGATCTAAGCTAAAACTATGATTATGATAACTTTGCAAAGGAWTAGGGATATAATGGTATGCCCGACATCCCATTAAGCATGCCTATGCTATAAGATATATTTAAAATAAAATTATATTAAGTTATGTTTAATTTGTTTTAAATGTATACGGCATCGTGTTCGTTTTATTAAACTTTAGCCAAAAACTATGTTAAATGTGAGTTGTTTATTTAGGGATATAATGTTTTTGCTTTTACCGTTTATGTCGTTAATGGTTTTATGGTATGAAGTAACAAATTAATAAGCAAATCTATTTTGCATAATTTTTCATGAGTTATGTACATTTCATGAGCATTCAAATATTAAGGGCACTGAAAATTTTCTTAGTAGCTTATATATTATAATTTATTTTAAACACCTAGCTATAGAATAGGTAATTAATTAAAGCATAAAAAGTAAWTTTTTTTTTTGCGTTTCGACAAATCTTATCACACTTATGTGTAGGTGTGTGTCTGAATTTTTTTTGTTTTTTAAGCAATATCAAATATGGACATATTATATGGTTATAAAATAACAATGCCGTTGATAAGTACCTATTGTTTACGTAACAGGTTTTCTAAATTATTATTTTTTTCATAAATACAATCAGAAAAAACTGATTAGAAATACCAAATACATATAAACAGTACAAAACTACAAACAACTATATTATTATGTATATATTATTATACATTTTTTATAAATTGTGTCTRAAGTATTATTATTATAGTCTGAGCCTCTGCAGTCTTYCGAGGCACGATGCATAGTTTCAGTTTAAAGTTAATATGCCTCGTAATGAATTTCTTTAGACTTGCACGATATAATTTTTTAGACTTTATCGAAATTTCTCAAATTTAACACATACCCGATGTATATTTATAATTTGATATAAGTATTTTTATTTAAACAAACAAATATTATAATGATATTAATATTATCGGCTCTCAGCTGAGTTTCTATATATACATAAATTAATTAACGTCCCTTTAAAAACCACAGCGCAAATACCACAGTTAAACCAATTTAAATGTATTTATAGAAAACGTGACGTTGAATATTGACGCATTTTATAATTTTTTCTACCAAGTCTTCTGCAATGCAACCATCACGCGTGCACAAATACTTCACTAGTCAGTATTAACCATAAAATATATGTATGTATTTAAATTTTATATGAATTGTTTAAAAGTATTGCAATGCAATCTGTTGGCTCTCGGATGGGGGTGCTAGGGGACATGCCCACAACTATTTTAATTTAATAGTTAGGTTAATAGTTTTATATTAGTTGTTAACACAAAAAAATAAATAGTATGTGCTAAGTTATCAGAGATTTTTACTTTGCCTCCCCCCCCCCGATTTATATTTATGAAGGTGCCCTTGAATGCGGTCATGGCAGTTTTGTCACGTTTTTCATAGTTATAGTTACAGTTATCTTAAAATATGTAATTTATATATTTTTTTATACTTACGAATTAATAAAAAATACCTGCGGTGACATAGGTCATTATAAAATAAGTATTATTTACAACAAAAACTTATCTATACTATAATGTACGGCCTATCGTTTATACGAGTGACTGCATGAGCTTATTTATTTAACAAGAATAAAATAACAGTTAATCATTTTATTGTTGGTCAAAAACGGAGTTCAAGAAATAAAAAAATATAAATGATACATAATATAATATCCTATAAATTAGCTGATCCTCGTGCAGTTTGTTATCCGTTAAAAATACCAACTTTATATGATTCAAAATTTGTGTTTAATTCTTTGTCCCAACAAAGCCACATTTATAGCCATGTTCAAAACTTCCCGTGGATTGTTGATTTACCCTATCTTAATTTCCATTAAAAATACATACAGTATACAGTATAATAAATACAGTCATATAAAATACAGGACTAAAATTTTACTCAAAACTCAATCATAACATTTTCTCGCATTTTTAGCTTTTTAAAGGTAAAAACAATTATTAAAATTGGTACATAATAACAAATTACCAATTTTTATTCATTCATACTAATAATTGTATAACCAAATAGCAACCCTATATAATAAACAAAAATAAATATATTTTTATTTATCATTAATATTATATCTATTATTTATACAAAATCTCAAATTTTCAATAAAAAAATTAATCGCCACTGCCATTATCAAGATAAAATATAGTCTATAATATGAGATAATATACTATAATAGTGTAACTTTCTGATAGTAAAAAAAAATGGGATCGGTTAAGTATAGTACCAGAGATTAAACAGAACAAACGGACAATGTTTCTTCTTTATATTAAACAACCTTTTTCACTTCTATAGGGGTTGAATTTTGAAAAACATTTATAGCCTATGACACTCATAAAGAATATGGCTTTCTATTGGTTGAAGAATTTTCAAAATCGGTTCTGTACTTCGCTGTAGGTCCAGAAATTACCCGCTACCACCTCACAAACCTTACGCCTTTTTATAATATAAAATTTTTTTACACCTCGGATTACAAATTGGTATTTTAGGAAGGATTCCTAATTTTTTTCAAAATATAATATGTCACCCGGGGATGGTAAGCTCTCAACGGTGAAAGAATTTTTCAAATCATCGGTCCAGTAGTTTCGGAGTCTATTCAATGCAAACAATCAAATCTTTTCCCCTTATATATTATAATAAGATAATTTAAGATAAAATACTAAACTAAAAGTGCAGTCGACGGTTGATTATAAATTAAAAATCATCTAGGTAACGAGGATAGAGAGGAGAAAAACAAAAACCATTTCGACGAAAATCCCAAAATAAAATAATAAACTTATAAACTATATAATATATTATATCATCGTTTTGATCGTTATTAATTTATTATTTACTATTAGTTTTATCATTTATCAATATGATCATATGATTTAACTACAGTGGATCTAATACAAGATATATACCGATCACTGTTCGCTCCGCAGCCTCAAGTATACAATATTCATTATGGGTTCGTCTAACCTTGCTGCAGTCGCAGGCTACTTAATGCTGTGGTTGTTCATCGCGTCTGCTGCGGCGGACGTTGGCGATGACTACGATGATTACTCGTACTCAGACTTCTTCCCGGAGTTATCGATTCAGCCCTCGGGACTGGATACCACGGACGCAGATCCCGACGAAAAGCATCACGAGTTCCGGTTCGTTGACTACAAGTCAGTACCGGATGAGTTGGCTACGGTCCGCGACGACGACGGATTGATATTTAGGTCCAAGGCACTACCGCCGTCGATCATCCGCCAACGAACAAACATAAGTCGGGCCGACCGCGGATTGAGACAGACGACGGTCATCAAGAAACGCGGTGGCGTACCTTGGGCTTGGCATGCTTCTGATTTCGGTAGTGCTCATACCTATATTATATCACATTACCATTTTCTTAGGGTGTACTTAAAATTTTTTTAGATCCTCTCCCACTAAAAAAATTTAAATTCCGCAATACATGTATACTAAGGTATACTTGGAAGAATTAATAAGCTGTTAAATAAGTTATAAAAACAACGATATTTCAATTAATGTTAGAATGACTAAAAGACTGAATGATTTCACATTTTGTGTCTTGTAATATGCTAAGGTGTTAAGCCGTCGACATAAAGTGTTCAACAAAGTTGGAATTATATTAATATAATTAGCAATAAACGCTGATGACATATTTTTCAATCAGAAAAGTTACAATAACGGTCTATGTCAACTTTATGTTCCAAAAATAAAAATAAATTAATGTGCACTTATTTCTATAATTTATTATAATATTTATAAATACATTCATATTATAATCGTCATCCATCAAGTAATGGAAGTAGAAATACTATATATAGTTATATAGACATCATTTGAAAAATAGGTCAAAAAATATTTTAAAAATAATAAATTGTTACCTAGGTATCTACTACCCATAAACAGTTATTATAAACATATATTATTAAAATATAAATAATATAATAAACAACAAACTATACTTATGATAATAAATAAAAAATGGCCTCTTGGCCTATTCATAGAAAACGTTCTGTCAAAAATTATTTTATTTAATTAACTTTTCTTGTAATTTACGGTGCAAGTATACTCTATAGACACGTTGTTCAAATCTGATAAAATAACTCAAGGCCCCCATAAGGGGAGCAGGAGGACCCATGGTACTTGGGCCCGGCGTTCGTGCAAATAATTACTTCAATACAGAGCCTGATTTACAAATTTTGGGGCCGGGTATTTAAATAAAAAGAGGCCTCATATACATTTATTAATATTATAATAATATATAAAACTAGCAAAACTTTTGGGGCCACTCCAATTTGGGGCCGGGTAACTAGTCACCCTGGTACCCCCCTAAATCAGGCACTGCTTCAATATAATATATTAGAACAATGTTTCAAAATTAATTGATGTTTAAGAGGGGCCCGGATTTAGTTCCGTACCAGGGCCAAAAATATGATGTGGGGTCCTATTGCTACACCTATATGTATATGTGGTATGATGCACAATGAAAACTATCTGAAAATATATCGTCGGATCTTGCACACATTATTAAATCCAGTTCACCTCATAAGTAATAATACACCAAGAATGTATATATATATATAGTATATACATTATACATATGTATATTAATTATGACAAACAATGACAAGTGTTGAACTGGATAGTGGATAACTACTGTTTGTCATAGCTAGGAGAAGTAAAAAGTTATGCGATTTCCATCATACCTTGTTTTTTGTCATGGTTCAAACCATTGAAAACTGTTTTCTGACGAATTAAAGTTAAATATATAATAATATATTCATTTTTATACCCAATACAGATGTATATTGTTATAGAAATTAAAATTTTAAAGTATTATAATTATTGTTTAATGTTCCAAACCTACCTCAAAATAAGTAAAAAGAGGGTTATATATAACATAGGTATATTGTATGAATTATATAACTTAAGATATGATAATAAGATAATAAGTTAAGATCTAGCTATCTGTACCTACAACTTTTTTTTTAAAATTTATATACAAAGACTATTAATACTTATTAAAAAACGAAAAAATTACACTTGTAAAATATTATTTCATGTAAAAATAATTTAATATATTTTTATCATCTTTGTAATTTTTAAAAGACATTAAAGCCTCAGCCCAAAATTATAATATATATGTGAGTGTGTGTATACTTGTACACTATTTTATTTCTGCGCTTGTGTAGATATGGAGTCGGATGGGGTGATACCCGTTGTAAATCACATTCGGGAGAGCACAACTGAACGATCAACATCAACTTCATTGGTAACTGCATCAAATCGCGTTTTTGACTTCAGTTGGAACGATTTGATAAAAAAGACTAACAAAATACCACAACAGTCAATAACGGATGGCTACTATAGTCTATAGTTATGAGTTTGTGACTTTCATAATATACGGCGATAAAGATAATATATTAAATGATTTAAATGTAATATTGACCATTTTCCATTTGTACCAATAAATATAAATAAATAATTATTTTATATTTATTATATTTAAATTTATATGATATATTGAATATTAATGTGTATATGGTACAGTCAATGTGCAGGTAATCAGTGACTCTTAATTCTTATTGCCTACAGCGTGTATATAAAACGACTAAAATTAATAGTCAAAATTGGTAATATTGAGATAGACACGAAGGGGGTATATATAGAGATTGCTATTACCCTTACGCAGCCAGCATGTGTATATTATGGAGATAACAATGCTATACGTATTGCTTACCTCGCAAATTTCGGCTAGACGCACTAAACATGTTTCTCGTTAGACCATAAACAGCTACAGCATTTTTATAATAAATACATGACAGTAGCTTTACTCGCCTCACCCGGTCACACTACGAGTGCGAACTAATGGCGAGACCGTTATTATAGAGTCACACGAGAACTATTGCTTGTGGGGTGGTGGGAGAAGGCGAGCATGCAATTAAAAACAAAAAAATTTGTAGTAGACACACAGCAGCAAGTGCCAGCGACTGATTAGGCCAACTCGGTCGTTAAGCTCGCACTGTATAATCTCGCTTTCAAACATAATCATAAATTAAAATGTTGGACGTCATATTTGCATAATACAACAGAATAAACCCTGTATAAGGGAATTAGATAGTGCGAGGGTAATAAATATGCACAGACGCACAGTAAAAATCTTTGGGCTTAGTGATTGCACTAGTCCAATTTGAGCATTTGACATTATGACAACTGCAGACACGTATACAAAAGTTACGAGTAACGTGCGGAACGCTGCATTGATCGTAGGAATATAGGATAGAGCAGCAAAATTATGTGATTCGTGAGTAACGACGGATACAATACAGGTGCAAACATACGAGTACACACGTACAAGCATGAATATAGTTAATACCAATTCGGGGCATCGACCACCACGACGGCGAGACCGTGACAACACTTATTGAAAGCGACTAAGGGACAAGAGGAGTCGAGGATAGGCCTTTAGAGAAGAATCCCGAACGATCAATTTCCAGACGTTGGGTACTTTACTATAAGCTGGCGTGAGCACATACCGCCAGAACGATTTTTTAAAATTATTATTTTGGACTTGAAAATAAACGATATCGATATGATCTGAATATTTTAATACTCTTATAGCATTTATAATTTTAATTTAACATTAGGTACTTATGAAGCATAATTTAATTTACTATATATTATACAGTGAAAAAACTATTTAAGTGTAATATTAATATTCATCACTCCACCTCATATACTGTCCTATCAATCGTACCTGTGTAGTCTGTACATACGCACATGGTCAAACGTTACATGCAATAATAACACTTCGATTATTGAACTACCTACAGTTTATTTACGTGTGTAAATTGAAAATACAGTGGTATAGGAAATCGGTCAGAGAAGTATATCGACCGAGCACGTGGTGTAAACGAAAAAATTCAAATTCATTTGTACCCATAAGGATCGTTGTTTGACTCGAGCCCACTGAACTAAATACTAAAATGTATTTAGTTCAGTGCTCGAGCCGCGTCGAGTTAATCGAAACATGAATCAAAGTGTACAATATTGTATTTAGCTATTTAAAAATTCTATTTGTAAGCTATATTTGTTATCGGTTAGATATTTGTAAATACAAAAATATTTTGTACTTACCTCCATAATATAAAGTATATTATTGTGATAATATATGTTATCAATAAATTCTAATAGCGTTTTCCCCCATACCGCACTATTGCACCAAGGTGGCACTTGTACAGTTTACTCGTTTACTGATAAATTAATATCAGCGTTTTAGTGCGGGGGTGCGGGCTGTTGGAAGTGTAAATGAAACATAAAGTCTATAGCTATCGTAAAGATAATAAAATATTTAATGGGTATTGTAGTACTTATAGCTCCAAGAGCTCGTGTTATTATCATTGCACCGAGTGCAAAAAATTGGCGTAGCGCATTGAGGTGAAACATAAAAAAAGTACACTCAGTGCACATTAATCTCACGGATGGAACATAAAAATATGCACTAGTGCAGTCATTGCAATGTGGTGGAAAATGCTATAACGCTATAAGGTTATAACTTATAATAGATAGTAGATATGGTTTAATATGAATATTTATGGAAGTATCAGTTTTTAACTTTTTTCAAATATGTAAATATGTAATCAAAAATGAAGTTTCACTACAAAAATATTGTTTTATCTGGAATCCTTCCACTCCACGTGTCTGAAGTAAAGTCACTCCATTTTACTTACCTACCTATGTTTATACTTTACATTTTTTACTTCAACATTCCACAAACATACAACTTAACCAGTTATTTTGTTTAGTTTTTGTAAATAATAAATTATGATCAACCAATCAAGATGTATATTAACGATTAATTGATACTTCAGACACAAACGACAAAGCCTAGTGTTGATTTTTATAATATTTTATCAATGAAGACGAATCACTAAAAGGGGGGCGGCCGCGGTTTGTATTCATGTGCATTAGAAGCATAGATTATAGATAATAAAAATATGGATAGGCCACGACCACGTTAAATGTTAAATACACTGAATGCCGCGTCCCYGCCTCCTCGGAGGAACTGAAGACTGAACGCATTGAGCCATTGAGGCTCCTTAGTCTTTTATCAAAGAACAAACGTCCTATCGTTATTGTCTTTATTATCAACTATGGTTAGAAGGCGGACACACGCCAAACTTGTCTGCAGTGTGACCAACCTCGGCGTCCAGATTCCCGTGGGCCACGGCACCACGGCATTAAATTCCGCAGACGTTATATTTACCTACACTCTCGAAAACAGTTCAACGACGACTATTATTTTGTCGACATTACAAGGACACTTATTTCGGTGGTTCGAACAGTTACAGTAATCTCTGTGCACCACCTGAGTTAATTATTAGTTATTACGATCGTTGGCGGTGGCGACGACGAGAGACGACGACTACATAATAATACAATATCGGTGGACAACGAGACAACTAGTCACCACTAACTAGTGACTATCTACAAAACGTTGGATGCCACATTACCGCCGTCGACGTGCAAAACTGCAAACTGCAGGGTGGACATTGCGGCAGCTGTTCGCCTTGTTCAACCGCATGACACGCGTGCACACTGCGCTCACGCTATACACATAAACTCATAGTTCATATTATGTAGGTATATTATATAATATAATAAAAATTATAAAATTTAATGTAAATTACAAAATTGAGTGGTAGCGGCAATCGAAAATAGTACCGAGTCCGTTTTGGTAATGTTTATGCTATCACATGTCCACCGACAACAGTTTAATATAAGCAATATCTCGCTCTTTAGTCTCTATAAACGATGTATATCGCGCGCAGACGTCCTTGTTAATTCCCAACTTCCAAACCGGTTACCTGATCGGTGCACGAAGTTCTTAGTGCCACGCGGTAAGCACTCGGTCGACACGCGCTACCATTGATCGCTACAATATTTACGATTTATAATAAATTGATACATTATATATTATATATTATGTATTATATTGGACAAAATAACCGACTAAAATGTTGTAATAAATCTGAGAGAAATGCGGTGTCGATAGATTAGCGAACAATTGAACGTGTCGTCAGTTTCTATATATTGTTTTACGTTCTACCTTCTACGAACGGGGACACGGCGTTCCATGCCATACCGCGCAGGTTCTTTGTGCCGACGCGCAGAGCACGTCCCACTCGCACGCATCGCATTCGCTTCGCTCTCAGTCACTCATCAGCTGCTGTTTCATGCGCTACCCGCGCGCTCACCGTCGCCACCGCCGCCGACGCCGATTATCAGTACCACGCGACATCAGCTGCGCCGACAACTTGTTACTATTTTAATATTACATTTAATATATATGCACGTATCACCACGAGACGCGAACTCGGCGGTTTTTCAGGACTCGTCACCGCAGCCGATACAACACGCAACCCTTCGTTGTAACCGCGATCGCGGTCGGTGAGTACAGAAAATGGGTTTAACAATCACGCCGTAATATCACATCCCATAGTATAGACACGACTTTTTGACAATCCGAATTATCAGGTGATCGGGTAGGCACGTGACGGCGCATTGTTATGGTATATTTATAAGAATTTAATGACCGTATTAAGAAGGATTCGGAACATTATGATAGGTATCAATACGTATCGGTTCTGTTTGTGTATGCAGTATTGAGCATTCAAGAATTCGCATGTGCTGTGAACTAACTGTACGTACCAACCACCGAGTAACAATTCCGTATCACCCTTATCTCAKACAATCCGTGGTTCAGTTGAATTGTGTGATTGTGACTTTGGATTAAAGGGACATTAGTATTTTGTAAACGTTTTCATAATATTAATCAGGAGATTAAACGTGTAACCTTAGTTCCGCTGGTTCTTTTCATGTTTTWCGGAAGTTACTATTTCCGATTATAGGTAAACAATAGCTTGTTTGTGTGTCGCTTCTATATTGTTCAAGTATCAAATTTTTCTTCTTGAAATCTCGTTTGTTAATATGGGTAATGATGTGATGTATTGCGCAACCTTGAACCAAATCTAGTCGTACTAATGAGTTAATAATATCATGTAATAACCATCCTTAATATTGCCGACACGTGCTTCATGCTCATGATGTTTCGTAAACCATTTTGGATATTATTTTTGCCGTCGAATTTATATTATATTTATATTTCACTTATTTCAGTATATATAATATTATACTAAGTAAGCAATTGGCTTCCTAAACTCTATCATCCCAACATTTTTTTTTACTTAACAGTTCAAATATGAATACCAAAAAAAAAATATTTTTTTTATTCTTTCAAACAAAATGTGTTTTATGTTAAATATAATAGGTATTATAAAATTTTACAATATTTTATAATATWTTATTAGACTAATAATTCATTTACTTACTTATCCTTTTATTTATCAATGTTTGCTTATCTATATCAAAACCACACAATTTTTAACTTTTATACAAGTTAACATCAAACAATTTGTTACGAGCAGCTGTATACTAGATTGCCACTATGTACATTAGGACCATTTTTATTTTAAGTTAATACATTATTAACAACATTACAAATATAACAAAGCTATAWKTTTTTTCCAAATCCTTAATCAACTACTGTTTTCAGATACATTTTTTTTYAAACCTTAAAAATGGTCATTACAATGTACCTCCAAATTTACATTTAAATATATGTGTATATATAGATTATACAAAAAAAACCAACAACATCATTTCCTAAGCAGTTCAGCATAAAATAGATTATATATAGYCATATTAATCCAGTAGTTGACTTGGGAATAAAGTRTTAGAGGTACTCTAGCTACTTTAAAAAAAGTAGCCTCCTGATGGCTACTTATCAACTATCACATTTTAGATTTCAAATATCCTCACAATTATAATTTAAGATTCAAAATTCAAAATTCAATTTGTAATTATTAAAAGGACATTTTGTAATATTTTAGCCTTTAACCCTTTAAAAAATAAATAGTGGTACGCTTAAGTATCCTAAAAATTAGTTGAGGTACTCAGTCTCTCAGTCACCATGCGCACCTCCCCCCCAAATCACCTCTGCATTAATCTTARGTAGAATAACAAATTTAGTTCAATCCTTTAAAAYTATAAATTAGTTATTATATATACATACCAATTTAGAATTCGATTTTTCAACTGAAAACTATTTTTTATTTGTAAAATACTTCATACTTTAGAAACTTTAATAACAAATTTAAATACACCTACCTACATATAATTTATTTGAACTGACTAAAATTATATACCTAATTTTTTTTTAAATATTTTTTTTCAGTATCAATTAAAAATGTTAAAGTGCCTAAACAATGATAGCAAAATACAAATGAGACTGAATATTAAACGGCATCGACAAAAACTTCTTCAATATTTAGAGAATATTAATGATACTGTTTTAAAGCCTAAAATCAAATTAGTTTCAAATGACTTAGAAAAAAATAATTTTAATAAATTAGTTTCAAATGATGTAGAAAAATCTAATTTGAAAAAATTAGTTTCAAATAATATAGAAAAATCTAATTTGAAAAAATTAGTTTCAAGTGATACAGATAAATCAAATTTGAATAAATTAGATTCAAATGATGTAGAAAAATCTAATTTGAATAAATTGGTTTCGAATGATATAGAAAAATCTTATTTGAATCATAATGTTAAACCAAAAATTACAACTAGTGCTGATTGGCAAAACCCTAAACATAGATCAACCATTAAGTTTACAAACTATAAGAATAAATCAAGAATTCGTATAAAAACATATGAACGTGTGATAAATACTAGACCAAAAAATCATGAAATTTTAACAGATATTGACGTAAAAAAACACAACACCAGATCAAGTCTTTCTATGAATCAACTTCAACCAAATTTTAAAATAAATATACAAGAAAAGCCTTTATCAAATTTTGAATTTATACCTGAACCTTTACCTCTACCTGAACTAAAAATTGAAATAAAAGACCCTGATCCTGAACCAAACATTGAAATAATAGACTCCCCAGAACCACCAATCACTGTAAAAAAACTCAAAGAGCAATTGCTTGAAGAGCTATTTGAAGATAGTTCAAGTTCTGAAGAAATCGAGGATAATATTTCTGTTGGAAGTAACGAAGATTGGAATGAAATTTATCAAACACATAATGAGAATGATGCAGATGAAAATGACAGCAGCAATTCAAGTCTAATAGAATCAGTTAAATATGATAGCCACAAACAACTGCCCAATGAAAAAAGTGAMGATTGTAAGTATCTATGATTTTGTTCGTAAATKATWTAAATTACATGATTATTTTGTTTCTAACTACATTTTATTTTGTTTTAAAAGATTTATATTYTAGCGGCAACAGTGATAATTCTGCATTAGACATCAACTACCCAACCACTAGTAAGGTAAATCAAACTAGAAAAAGAATTTTATCAAGATCTCAATTTCAAAATGATAAGCCTAAACACAGGTTTAGAAAACCTCAAGACAGGGATTTACACAATGCCAAAGAACGAGCGTGCCGAGAACGCATAGCCAAAAAGTTTGCTATTTTGAGAAAATCGTGTAGTTATTTGAACTCCAATAGACGTGTGCCATCAAAACATAGCATACTTTTGGCTGCTAAAAAAGAGTGTGATTTGTTAAAACATTTTGAGAAGAAAATGCTTGCAGAAAAAAAAGTATGGCGTAAAGCAAATGAAGATCTGCGAAAAAGGATAGCTGATTATATATCTAAAGACAGTAAATTAGCATATTTAATCTGATTATGCATGACAAGCCATGAAAAATTGTGGTTATATTTGTTAATACGTTAATAATGTATATTTCATACTGCACAATATACCAACTTACCACTTTTTAATTTTTGGTAGATAGGTATATAAATAATATGTATATTTATATTTTTATAGTAATAGTGAATAGAATTTTGAAAATTCATAAATGTTTTTTATCTATTTATTATGTTGTAACACTAAACAWAACAAATCAATGTGTACATTTGTAGTTTGTGTTATACATTTTTAATAACTACCATTTCACTATTTTTTTTTTTATATATTTAAATATAAATTATATCATAATATTAAATACAATTTATTCAGTCATAGATGAATTACATTTGTTAAACTTGGTATAAATTTGTATGCTCTTTATGAGACTCTATAAATGTCGCAGATACTTACATAAAAACGGTTGAGTATATTTAAAAGCTCATCTCCACTTTATGTAATTGATTCGTTTTCATATTATTGCACAAAATATTTTAAACCTCGACATTCCGGCAATGTTTTTAATTTTAATTTATAACATAATACCTATGTGATGTTTTTTAAATTATAAGTTTATTTTACTGGAATTATAAATCAAATATTTTTCATAAATGTGTTCTTTATCAATAAATGACATAGTTTTTAAAATCCTAAACTAGCTCCTCTTCTTTACAATACTTATATTATTTTATGTGCATTGGTCTTATATGCTYACTGYGACACTGCTCACTACCAGAAATCTATTACTAATGTAAATCATAATTTGGATAGGGCAAAAATCTATATTTGTTATTACTATGTAATTAGTAATTAAGATAAATCAGAATATGAATATGCTAATTTATTATGTTTAGGGCACTATTAACCTATATCAATATTGTAGTTTAATACATAACATGTAAAATAAAATCAATTTTGCAAATCTGGCTCTGCAAAAAAATCGCAYGTTTTACTTAGTTTTTTGGGTTTTTGATAACAATTTAGAATTTTATATTTTTGAGCCTAGAATATTCCCAATTTGTTCCACTTTTCTATCTAAAAGTATATTGCAGTAGAAAATTAAATCACAATGTCAATTATTGTCATGTCTACACAAAAAAWWWTTTGTAAAATCACAATTCATTCATTGATCCGCTCAAAATTTAAAAGTATGYAAGTCTTATAAATAGTAATTCAAAATGTTTGTATGMCATATAATTTAAAAACAATTGACATTGGTAAAGGATATTATATTAAAAATGATATAGCCATGAAAATAAATATTTATAATTTATAAATATTAGCAAGATGTATTTTGTTATTTTTGTAAACTGAAACTTAAAATACTTAGTACYTAATAAATGTAAAATAGCAATAAATATTTTAAACAAACAAGCATACCAGTTTTAATTAATAAGTAGGCCAGTAACATAAACTAAATACACTAAATTTTACATTTAAAGAACGTTCAGTTCCAAATGTTACACAAGATTAAATAATGATTATATAATAACTGTATTATTATTTAAGTACTGCTCGTAAGTACTCTCAAATTATTTTCCACTTTATTTTGTAGGTGGCTTACATAACAATTTAATATACAAGAGATTTTAAAATTAATCATTTTGCACTAATTATTATACAAGACAAATTAGTGTAATTGAAAAAAGCATGTTAAACCCGCTCGTGTTTTCTCTGCCTTACAAGTGTATGACATAACAAATTTTAGGTTTAACAAATCACATTTAGTTCTGCAATTTTAAAAATTAGAGTGAATTGACTTCTTATACAATTTAAAGGTTAGATTTTTATTTAGACAAATTTTATATTRTATATTATATTTGAAGCAAGCTATAAGTATTTTAAGATGTATAAACATCTTACAATTTTGAAATACTTATAACTCATTTCAAAATTAAAATATAATAATAATGTTATGATGTTATCTAAATAATTATCTTACCTTTAAATTTTATAAGATGTCAATTCTACACTCAAATTTTTAAACTAACGGAACTTACAAGATCTGCTGAGCGTTGAATTTAATGTTACACACTTGTAAGATGTAGACAAAAACATGCGTATATAATTAGTGTATATAATTATTAATGTCCTCTTAAATATTTCATAAACAACAGGAGTTTTTATCAAATAATTTCTTTATTGTTCAAGGTAAATAACCACTATAATTTACAACGCAGTTTTAACAGTTTCAGCCTTCTTCAACCATTATTGTTTATTCGAAATATTTATTTTTGACAGTAAATTGTTGAGCAAAACTAGTTTGTTGGATTTTATCTCCTCTGTAATATTAATATTATATTGAAAACACAAAAATTAACATCTTAAATATTGTTTCTGTATACTTCATTATAAATATCAGCAACTAACTTGTGCTAAGACAGTACACGATAGGATGTTTGATTATAATATAGGGTGATAGATAGATAGATATTGCCTAACTGCTGTCAAAATCCCTTCTTTAAATAAACATACAGTGCGATTATTAAGTACAAACCAGGAGCTACTAATGTATTTATCCATAGTTTTACAAATAATTGTAATTAAGACAATGATAATAAAACATAAGAATGTTGATTTATAGCTGAAAATAATTGCTTTATTGTCTTAAATAATAATAATGAATATATTTAATCTTATTTCTTCATCTGATTCAATAATTATTGGTTGTTGATTATACACAAATTAATGAAATATAATAAATTATGTTTTAAGTTAATTACATAAATCTTAATGGACACATTTAGTTGTTATTAAAGATCACATTCAATTAAATTTAACACTTRGATTTTTTTCATTAACAACAAAACATATTTAAATATGTGAGTTGCACATCATATAGTGTGTCAGACAATTCTTCAAGTCTAGAGTTTATTGGTGCAGTAAGACATTAGTTATTTGTAACACAAATTTTAATAACTTAATGCGTACAATTGTAACAATTATACATTAAAATACAAAAAGTATAACCCATAACCATAGCAACACAAGTGCTTTCAGTAGTGTTTTTACTGTTGTAAAATGTAATCAGACAAATTGTAAAACTTTTACAAGGACATAGATGGCAGTTCAATGATTAAAAGATAATTATAATTATTAGTAAAATGTTTTTCTTTTACATAGTTTATGTAATTATATAACATGTACAAGCTATGTAAAAAAAAAAAAACTGCCTGGTATCTAGCACACATTAACTATCAATCAACAATAACAAGTGTCCGTTAAATGTGGCTATATAAATATTAGATTTCTTATATAATAAAAGGATCAGCAAATTTTTTTTTTTAATTCAACATTTTTTTTTATCATAAAAAATAAATGAAAAAAATTAAGTTATAAAATATATATATATATATATGTCGCCCAACGTTTTCAACTTACTAGGTTTCAACATAAATAAGCTTATCTATTCAATTATTTTCAACACTTTGCCAATAGCAATAGTTTTACCTGAAAATTAAAATATAAATTAATTAAATGATTTCTATCTATATATATAATATAAAAAAGAATTTATTATTTAGTAATGGTATACTCCGTTCCACGAGAGAGTGCAATTGGGCAGCAACCAAAACATGCTCATTTCTACGCATCCCCATTGTATACAGAGAGCGGACATTACATGTTGAGGGAAATTTGGCCTCGAGAGCAGTCATTTGTATGCGCATGGTGGTCGCACTCTCATGTGGAAAGKAGTATAAGAATTTCTGTTGTTTTATCAAAAACYATTTGTTTAATGTTTTTTTTTTAAAGAAATATATTCAATTTAAATATGAACCAAAAAGCTCAAAGTATATTAGTAAAACTATAGCTAAACTCTATTCCAAATAAGTTTGAAAATATTGTCAAGCTTCAGAACAGTAGAACAACTGTAATAAGCTGCAGTAGTCATTGAAACTGTACGTGTGAAAATCAATTTCATATGGATTTTTTTTACCAAACTTACTTGGAATAGAGTATAATTGTTAATAACAATTTGTCAATTATATCATTCTTAGAGTGTAATAACTAATAAGCATTAGTATTGCCTAAAAGACATTAATAGTACATATAATAGATTATTTTTATTTTTGAATGTAGCAATTATGAAACATATTTAAATATAGATATTTAGTGAAAAAAGCCAACCAATGATAAATAGATAATCTAAATATTTAACCCAAGTACAAACCTTCGTCTCGAAGTGTAAATCTACCCATTTGTGGGAAAAGTTTGAATTCTTCAAGGCAAACAACACCTGAACATTCAAGCCTCATTATGACTACTTGATCTTGCTTAACGAATCTTGGCCTCATATTTGATTTCAATCCAGTTTTTCTATCAACTAAGCATATTAATGCCTGAAAATATATAAAGCAAAACAAAACCATATTACACATTATAGGAATCAATATTATTAAAAATAAATTTAGAAGACAAATAGTACTTAGATTATTTATTTTAATTTACCTTAACTTCTACTACTTCAGCAACACAATGGATATGCATAACTGCTGAATATCCAGCACAAATAATGCTTTTATGCTCTAATATGACAACCTGAAATTAAAAATAGCCACCTTTAAGTACATTCTATATTGCCATAAATTAATTTTTTTAAATGCTATATACCTGTCCATCAAATATACGACAAGTCTTAACAGGATTAATTGGATCACATAAAATAAAACCAGGAGAGACATCTTCTTCTTCAACTCCTTTTAGTTTAACTTTGATATTTTCACCTGGTCCAACCGAAGTAACTTCTTCATCATCTGACCATAATTGGTCAACAATTACTGTTGTCTACAAATAGTTTCCAATATTACTATACGAATCATTTATGTGAAAAAACATTCTGAAATATAAAACATACTCTATTTGGCATTAACACTAGAGTTTGTGTTTTTCTTGCTTCCCCTGATTCTACTTTTCCCATGAGTACAGTTCCCATGTCTTTATATTTTTCTACAACGGGCATTATAAAAGGGCCATCTGAACTACGATTTAATAAAGGTAAATTGTCAATAAATGGAATAAAAGCTGGCCCTCTGAAAGACAAAAACAAAAATTCAGTATGATTCTAGATGAAAAAAAAAATATTATATCACTTACCTATACCAAGAGCATATAGATTCATCAACTTGGTCTT